CGACCAGGCGAGGGACGACGAGAGCGTGTACACCGACGCCAGCTCGTTTCGCGCCAGGCACGCCTACTCGGAGAGCAAGGCCAGCACCTCCTACGCCGGCTCGTCCTACTCTATCTATCCGGCGGACGCCGGGCTCGAGCACTATCCGCCGTTCAATAACAACGACCCAGGCAACCGCGCCGGCCACGCCAGCGAGCCCTCCGTCGACTCGTACATCGACATGAACTCGCCCGTGGACGACGACCAGCCGCTGGCGGACGCCCAGGAGGCCGTCCTCGCCGGCCTCACCGACACCTACCGCGACGACCGGCCAGGCTCGCACCAGAACTACGACTCTGCCCTCCGCGACTCGTGGCCGGATGCGAAGCGCGCGAGTGAGGGTGCGCAGAGGGCTGCCAGTGGGCGTGGACGTGGTCCGCCGTCTTATGCTCACGACACCGTCCGCGCCGACGCCAAGCGCCCCACCCCCGGCCGCCAAGACAACCCGCACGCGAGCAACGCGTTCAAGAGCGTCTACTCCAACGTCGATAGTGTCTATTCGCAGGATGATGATCGCAACTCCTATGGGGGTCCCGGGTACCCCGCCTCTGGACGCTACACCCGCAACCTCGACAGCATCTACTCCCAGGACGACGACGATCAGGCGTATTATGCCGATGCGTCTGGTGCGGCGTACGCGGATACGTCTGGTGCGGCGTACGCGGACGCATCTGGCGCTGCGTACACTGCCAACGAGGACGTACCGACCGTCGTCGTCTCCTCTCCGATCACAGCTTCCTCTTCGCGGCAGGCCAGTCGCCAGCCGATCCAGCAGCACATCCGCAACTTCAGCCGCCCGATGCCGCAGTCGGACGCACCCCCGCCTGGGTCCTCTGCCTCTCACCCACAGAGGGCACCCTCTCACTCGCTCACCTCACCCTCCAACGCCTTCGACCGCCCCGAATCCTCGTACACTGCCTACTCGCAAGACGTGTCGTACAATCAGGATGATTCGTTCGCGCACGACCCGCACTCGTTCGCGCACGACCCCTCCTCCTTCTCCCATGGCACAACGTTCGCCCATGATCCAGCTTCCAGTCGTCTTGCTGTCGACGGCGCGCCAAACATCCAGACCTCCCCCTCCCCCCGCCCGACCCTCACCACCACGGCCTCCTCTCGCGCGGTCGTCGTCACCGAGTCTGCCACCCTTCCACCCGGCGCCGCGAAGCCTGTTCGACCGTATATCTCGACCGAGCATCTGGAGGAGCAGAAGCGCGCTGTCATCGAAAGAAACAGAGCGAGAGGACTAAGTGGTGGGAGCCCCAGCACACCCAGTATGCGGGGGTCGCCGTCGATGAGCTCCCTGCGCGGTGGATCACCGTCGATGAGCTCCCTGCGCGGTGGATCACCGTCGATGAGCTCGTTGGGAGGTGGGAGGGGTAGTCCGAGTGTGGCGAGTTTGGGGAGGGGTGCGCCGCCGTCAACGTATGGTGGTGGGGGAGGCTCGATGCGCAACGTCAGTGGGGGTTCGGGATATGGGTCGCCGGCTTCGTTGCATCCTTCCCAGTATGCTTCACCGTCGCAAAGTTTTGGCTACGGACAACCGCCGCCCTCTGGCTACGGACAGCCGTCGCCCTCTGGCTACGGCCCTTCTTCGCCCTCTGGCTACGGACAGCCGCCGCCCTCGCCGAAGCCGAACCCGTACATGACGCACTCGCCGTCGCCGAGCGGGGATCTGCTGGGGATGGGAGGAGGTGAGTTTGCGTACTCTTGAACGTCTTTATTCCATTCCAGTCCACGTACAATCGCCACGCTACGCAGGAGATCGCACAATCGCCACGCTCTGAGGAGATCGCACAATCTCCACGCTACGCAGGAGATCTGACGATCGCCACGCTGCACACGAGACCCCCTTTTGCCCTACTCCATCCACCACCGCTTCCTCCAATCCTCCTTCATCCCGCCTCACCCCTCCTCCACCCTCACTCTCGCTTCGCCCTCACCCCTCCTCCACCCTCACCCTCGCTTCGCCCTCACTCTCGCTTCGCCCCCGCCCTCGCTTCGCCCCCACCTTTCCTTCGCCCTCCCTGTGCGGGAGAGCCTCCGCTTTCTCGCTTCGCCGCCGTTTCACGTTGCTATGGTGTGGTGCCAGCCTGCGTTAGGCGCTTTACCGTGCTGCGTTAGGCGCTTTACTGTGCTGCGTTAGGCGCTGTCTGTGCTGCGTTAGGCACTTTACTGTGCTGCGTTAGGCGCTGTCTGTGCTGCATTAGGCACTTTACTGTGCTGCGTTAGGCACTTTACTGTGCTGCACCGGATTGCGGTGGTTGCTGTGTCGCGCTGCTGCGGACCTGTGCTATATCTTGCTTGGCGCCTTCTCCCTCTCATCTTTCCTTCTCCTCATTTTATTTTCTGGACTCCTCATTTTACTTTCTGGACTCCCCATTTTACTTTCTCGACTCCTCATTCCACTTTCTCGACTCCAACCACAATACTCTTTGTCAACATGCTAACCTACCCCGCAGCCTCTTCCCACCGCGCCCCCTCGCCGTACGGGAACCAACTTTCGGATAGGGCACCTTCGCCGTATGCGGCGCAGGGGAATCGCGCGCCGTCACCGTACTCGCAGAGGGCGCCGTCGCCCTACTCTCAACGCGCTCCCTCACCTTACTCGCAAAGGGCGTCCTCCCCTTATGATATGCCGCCTCCCTCCAGTACGTCTACTCCTTTGCCCCCCGCAACTGCGACTGAACAACGACATAGACGCGCCGGACTATCCGCCCCCCGCGCCGCCGTCGAATGCGCCTGGTATGCTCCTCCCTTCTCCCCTTCCCTTGTTTCCCCCTCCATTCTCCCTTTTTCCCAGATTTCCCCCTCGACTGGACTCGAACTCACGACATCCCGCAGACTACCCGCCCTCTGACCCCTCCATGCCAGGCGCGCCGGGGTATGATCCTACGACTAGACAGCCAAAGACGAGGAAGGTGCCGCTGGGTGTGCAAGCTACGACCGCGGGGCAGGCGGGGCGGGGCGCGTACGGGCGGTCGCCGTCGTTGCGTGGGGGGAGTCCGTCGATGAGGGCGGCGTCACCTGGTGAGCGACACGCACTAGGCAAAGGTAGAAAGTTGGCTGAATGGACGGTCTTGTAGGTAGCACGCATGCGAGGTCGCAGAGCCGCTCACCCCAGCCGGGGCAGGTGGCGCGCGGGTTGTCGCCGGATGCGCGGGGGTCGTCGCCCGAGGCGTATTCGCCTGATGCGCAGTACGCTTCGTATGGAGCGAACAGGTCGCCCCAGGAGGAAGCATACGACGCGGACTCGTTGCCGTCGCCGTATGACGGTCCGAATTTTTCGCCGGCCTCTCAACAGTTCAGCGACCAAGGCAGCCCGGCCTCGGCCACGTTCAGTGATGGTGGCGGGCAGTACGCGATGTATAAGGATGCGGGGCATGCGCGTGCGCCGTCGTCTGGCTCGCCAAGAGAAGGACACCACCAAGGCGCATCGGGAGGTCACCAGCGAGGGGCGTCCGGCAGTCCCAAGGAAGCGCACCACAGAGGCGCCTCATCCTCCAAACTCTCGCCCGAGTCCGCCGCGTTCATGAACCCGCCCGCGGTGAACCGGGGCCATGTGCCGCCGTCGTTGACCACGTCGCGCTCGGCGACGAATCTGTCGGCGACGTCTGCCGGTAAGTCGTCTGCTATTCTTTTTTCTCAGGCCCTCCGGTCCATTGCTTCTTCACCTATTCCTTACCCTTACCCAACCCTTACACTTCACCCAACCCATACCCCTCACCCATCCCATACCTCTCACCCATCCCATACCTCTCACTCATCCCATACCTCTCACCCGTCCCTTACCTCTCACCCATCCCTTACCCTCACCCGTCCCTTACTCTCACCCACTCCTTACCCCTACTCCGCCAACACCAACCTCCCGCTTCCCACATCACCGCCCCTCCTATTCCCACTCCACGACGCACAGCTAACTGACCGCCACGCACAACTAACTGACCGCTCCCCACAACACGCAACTAACACCTCCACAGCCACAACCCGCAACCCCTCCACCATTCACCTGCCCTCGGGCCCGCCGTCGCGGCCGCTGACGCCCGCGTCGAGCGTGTACAGTGATTATTCGTATTACCCGTATGATGGAAGGGCGAGCGAGCCGGGGACGCCGGGGTGGGGTGGGATGGGTGGGGGGCAGGGGGAGGTGAGTTCGATCATTTATTTGGCAGAGAGAGAGGACATAACTTCACCCTCATTCTTCCTCACCCGTCGTTTATCCTCGTACCGTCGCTTATCTTCATAGCCCCCACCCTCCATCCCCCTCTCTCATCTCCTCCCCTTCCCTCCCCTCGTTCTCCTTCCCTCCTCGTTCATATGTTTCTCCCTTGTTTATACGTTTCCCCCTTCCTCAAGCTGACCACCCTCGTCCATTCAGCGCCAACCAGGCAGCGCAGGCCTACACAAGCCCTCTGAATCGCAAGCGACGCTCCGACAACATAAAGCGAGCGCGAGCCAGGCGACGGTGCGGAGTCAGGGGACGGTCAGGGGAGGTGGGTTGGGTTTCCATTCATGTTTGTTCATCCCGATATTGATCATTCTTCTCTCTCCATCGTGACCTCTTTTTCTTTTGCTCGACCACACCATTATCGCAACCACGGTCTCCACCATCACCCGAAACTGAACGCACTTCCTAATTGAACGCACCTCCTAATTGGATACACCTCCCAGGCCTCTCGCCCACCCCCTCCCCTGGCGGCCCGCCCAAGACGCCGCAGGACTTCCTCGCGGCCGGCATTGCGGCGCACGAGGCGAACAAGCTGCAGGAGAGCGCGCGGTTGTTCGAGACGAGTGCGGTAAGTTACCGTCCTCGCTTTTTTTCATCTTTCCTCTTTCCTTGCCACCCCCTATCCTCGCCATCCACTACCCTCGCCATCCATAGCCATTCCCCACCCATCACCCCTCCTTCGCCTTTCTGTCATGTCCAGCTTTTCTTCCCTCCCACTCTCTATCCCCCCTCTTCTCGTTCTCCTTCCCTTGCGCCCCTCCACCCAACTTCCTGCATACCCGTCTATATTCTCGTCACTCGCACTACAACTTAACCCTACCGACCCATACTAACCCCCATCGCAATCCGTACTGACCCCACCTCCCCCCAGACCCTCCAAGGCGGCTGTGGCGTTGGCATGCTCATGTGGGGGCTTGCCTTGCGTCATGGGTGGGGCGTGCCGAGGGATGAGAAGGGCGGGTTTCGGTGAGTTTCGTTTAGGCATCAGATTGGAGGGGAATGTTTTGGTGGGGAGGGAGGAAGAGAGGGGCACAACGCGGGAGGGAGAGTAGAGGGAGCAGGGGATGAATAGCGCGGAATGGAGCGTAGAGGAACGAGGAAGCAAAGGGGTGAGGGATGGTATGGAAAGCTGATATGTCGCTCAGATGGCTTCGGAAAGCAGCTGAGATGGCGGTGCGCGATTTGGAGGGTGAATTGGGTGGCGAGGCGGGTGAGTGGTGTTTCCTTTTTTGTGTTTTTCAGGTCGTCGCCTGTCATCATCCTTTTCTGCTTTCACCTCCGCTATCTATCTCTTATCTTTCGTACGCCTTCGCCACCTCGAAGCATACCCTACCCATCACATACTTCGTATTCTACTTCAGTGCCCTACTTAGCCTCGCCACCGTACCCCCACCCCGTACGACTGATACCGCCCAGCCGCGATCGTCCGCGAGGTCCCCCTCTCTTCCAACGCGCACGTATCCCCGGAGAAGTCGCATACCCGTAGCACAACCCCTACCGAACACTCCCGACATTCCCTCTTCAAGCGCCCCAAATCCCCCTTCTCCCCCTCAAACGAGAAGCACTCGCAGGAGAAATCCCCGTTCGACGCCAAAGACAAATCCCCCTCCAATCCCAAAGACAAATCCCCCACGACCTCCCCCTCCAAGAAGCGCGGCCTCTTCCGCTCGCGCAGCCGCGGTGCGTGCTCGCGTCCTGTGCCCTCTCGGTTCAGACTGCGGGTGTCTGGGTGCGAGGCTGGATGTGCATCTCCTACGATTTGACTGTGCATCTCCTACGATCTGACTATGTACACGGACCTGCCGTCGGCTTACTTATACCTCCCATTGCTGATACTTTGTGCTACGCATGCTTGTTTATCTTACTCGCTCAGTTGTTTCGCTGACGCCCCCCCTTCCTTGCTCTCCTTCCATTTTTCGCCCTCTTCCTGCCCCTCTTCCCTCACTCCGCCTCCCCATCCCTCCTCACCTCATTGCTAACACCACTCTCCCTCAGGCCCACGTCCAGGATCTCCCGCTTCCGCGCAGGGCAACGGCGCGACGATCGCCGCCGCAGAAAAAGCGTCTGCGCACGCAGCGCGCGCGAGCGTGGGCATGGACCGCATCGCGAGCGGCGTGCAGGCGGAGTTGGTGCTGGCGATCTATGAGGTGAGTGGAGCGCAAATAGGATAGGGGATCCGCGAGACGTGCTTCCGATGGACGGCAGCTCGCCGACGCCTCGCTCGAAAGACGCGGATGCCTCGCTCGAACGAAGGGGAAAGCCTGAACGCTGACCCCTCGCCCCAGGTCGGCCAGTCCTTCTTCCACGGCTGGGGTGTGCCCAAGGATATGAAGATGGGCGTCCAGTACTACACTGTTGCGGCGCGCCTTGGCGACGCGGATGCGCAGGCGGATCTGGGATTCTGCCTGGCAGAGGGGAAGGGGTGTAAGAAGGATCGGCGGGCGGCAGCGAGGTGGTACCGGGCGGCGGTGAGTGTCTGGTGTGCTTTTGTGTGAGGGTGTGGGGGGAAAGGGGCAAGGGGGGAGGAGGGAAGGTCAGAGTGCAGAGGAGCGAAGGGGGAAGGGGAAATGGAAGTATAGCATGCTAACGAGACACCTTCAGGTCGCGCAGGGCGCGAGCGATATTGGACTCGCGTGGATCTACAAGGACAAGTATCAATGAGAGCGGCTAGAAAAGAGGAGAAGAAGGACCGCTGCCGCATCCAAAGACCTTGCCTAACGCAAGGCAACAATCGCCCAAGCCCGACGCCACGTAGGAAGACTGCATCATCCGAAGCAAGTCGCCCTTGTGCTATCTCGTGCACGGTACGCCCGGCTGCGCGACTCCAGCGCGCGTCCATCGCGGGAGGGCGCGTCGCAACTTACATGTATATTCTGTGTCGTTCGCTGACTTACTTATCTTATATCGCTCGCTCTGTTGGGCTTGTGAACACTGTCTTCAGTTCGGTTTTGGCTCTTTCTCTATCACTCCGCCGTTCCTCGTTCGGGCATCTCGGTTTCTCATCCCATTTGGTTTGAATTCACCTTTGCATCGTTCTTCGGCATTTTTCCATTTTTCGTCTCTTCCTCGATGTCCCAAACACGTGCCGCTCCTTCGTCTGTCGTATTTCTCGCCTCTTCCTCGTCTCGTTTTTGACTCCCTCGGATCGGGCATCGAGCTCGCTATCCACCTTGCAAAAGTACTCGACCTTCCCATACTCACTCGCATACCATTCCTCATCTCTTGCCATCTCACGTCTCATATCATACGCTTGTAGATAAGTGGCTTGGAACTTCTGACCTGCATGCTATGCAGATGCGCCCCATGTTCGTCCGATAGCCGGAAGAGTACTATCGTCCCGTCCGATTGAGAGGTATTGGAGGTAGCTGGATGCGCCAGGGGGGTGAGCACGCCGAATGGTTCAAGTACCAAGTCACTTGAGCCTGAAGCTTGAAGGTGAGCGTGTGGCGCCGAGATTTCCTATGATCATCTTGCGCATGCTCACTTTCCACAGCTTTTTTGGTGCATTATTTCTGAATTCGTTAAGACGGCTCAGATGCTTTTGCCTTCTGATGCTGCACACGACTGACAGATCAATGATGCAGAATGCGCGCGCACGCCTGTACAACTATCGAATTCATATACAGTGCTAACTTACACCTCAGATCCAATTAACACCTACAAAGCCAGCGCGCATCCTCAAATTGAACGCTCGCAGACTAGCGACGTAGCTCCACATAGTTCTGACGAGAACCCCACATCCGCACATGCCCCTCCGGCCACTCTACCGTCACCTCCCCGCGCGGGACACCGCTCCCTTCTAGCAGCGTCAAGATCTCCTCGCTCGCCGTGTGCGCCTGCGCCGCCGTCGCGCCCCCCGGCCGAACGTGTATCTCGATGACCGGCCTCGAGGTAACACCATCCTCCCCTTGTTCCTTCGACTCCCCCTCGCCCTCATTATAAAAGTACAGATTGATCGTCTCCCACCGGATCCCCCGCTCCCCTACCTTATCCCACATGGCGCGGAGATCCTTGTTGCCGTTCCACAGCGCGTGCATCGCCGTGCGCCGCTTGGCGAACGGGCTCGGGCGGCGGGGAGGGGGCGGCGACGGGGGCAGCGGGTACGGCCTCTCGAGCAGGTCGGAGCGGTAGAGGAGCGCGGGGGCCGTGGCGCCTTGAGCGTGGTAGTACATGATGCGCTCGTACTCGGAGACCGCGTAGGGCGCGCCATCGGTGGTCGTCGACAACTTCTCGGGGTAGGTGCGCGCGGCGGCGAGAGCCTCGTAGGAGAGCGCTTGCTCGTTGGTGGATCGGAGGAGGGGGAGGATGGCGGTCCCTGGAAGGGGTGCGTGAGTTCGGGACGTATTGTGTGAGCGCTCGGCGTGGTGCGATGGATACTGGGGACGAGCAAGGGGGAGGGGACTCACCATACCGTTCCGGGCGCTCTCGCATGTGCGCGATGATCTCCTGGACCTCGGCGGAGACGCCTGGGAGGTGTGACGATGCGCGCAGCGGGTACGGCGATGCGTCCGAAGAGTGCACGGAAAGAAGGCACGCCAATTATTATAGATGTTATGAGGGATGGTAAAGGGGCACGAGATATAATATTTATTTAGTATAAGCTGGACGAAAGAGTGGCAGGGTACTACTTGCCTTCGCCCAGGAGGCCAGCTTCCTCCAACTGCGCGTCGGTGTACGGAAACTCGACTGGCGGGATGGGTGTTAGCAGGAAGCCGCATGTGAGGTGTCGCAAACGCCTGCAGAGTGCGGGCGCTGATAATTGCGAGAGCATTGCTGGCACTTACCCTTTTTCTCTGTGGATGTCATCGCTGAGTGATTGGTTGTTTCTGCTGCTGGGGTAACTCCTTTCACTGTTCACAGATGAGCGCTTCGGACGAGGACTCTCGCTAGAGCTCACCATTCGAGACAGTTCAATAGGGGCGCGCATGACTCAATGTGAGAGGTCTTGGTTCGCATTGACTTTCCAGTGGACCGTTTTGGCAACTGAACATAAACTTCCGCATGCGGAAAGCAAATGGCAATTGCGATGCGCGACTTCAAACGACAACGGTCGATCGATGTATAGAATCCCCCCGCCCATTCCGCCTTGCGTTGACCACTTCTCAGTCCCGAATATCTATATAGTTCGTACGAGAGCCCCACATGCGCACATACTGCTCCCCCCACTCGACCGTCAGACGCCCGCGCGGGACGCCGTGCTTCTCAAACAGGTCTAGGATTTCCTCACTCGCTTCGTGCGCCGCCTGTGCGTCTGTCACGCCACCCGGATGGACGTGCACCATGACAAAAGGCCGGGATTTCTTTACTGGGGACTCGCCGTCTGCTGCGCCTTCTCCCGCCTCACCTGCAGGTCCCTCCTCGTAGAACATGATGCTCGCGTTGAACGGCGTGATCCCCCAATTGTCCCTGATCCGGGTCAGCATCCCCAGATCACGCATCTCATTTTCCGCAGCGCGCATCGCGGGGCCGCGGGCGCCGGACCGGGAGGGGCGGCGGGGTGGGGGAGGCGCGGGCGGGAGGGGGTAGGGCCGCTCGCGCAGGTCGGAGCGGTAGAGGAGCACGGGGCCGTCGGTGGCGTGGTAGTACATGACGCGCTCGTACTCGGAGACCGCGTAGGGCGAGCCGTCGGTGGTGGTCGAGAGCGTTTCGGGGTGGGCGCGCGCGGCGTCGAGAGCCTCGAAGGAGAGCGCTTGCTTGTTGGTGGATTGGAGGAGGGGGAGGGTGGCGTCGCCTGACATTTGAGTGGAGTGCGTGTGGGTAGTTGGAAGAGAGGAGATGGCGACTTACGATACCACTCTGGGCGCTTTCGCATGTGCGCGATGAGTTTGCGGACTTCGTCGGAGAGGCCTGTGAATTGAGGCGACGGTGTTTGAGCATGCGATTTGGATGGTCTAGTGGGAAGACACGAAACAGAAACTCGCCTTCTCCTGTAAGCCCGGCTTCAGCCAGTTGCTCGTCGGTGAATGGAAATTCTACTGCAGGATTTCACGTCAGAACTAGACTGTTGAAAATATGGCCATATGCATGACTGCCACATGCAGAGCCCATGTGCTAGACACGAGGAAGGATTTGGTACTCGATACGTACTCTTCTTTTCCGTTGCCGACATTCTGATGAGGTCGTGCTTTGTTCGTGTGTGAAGGTTCGAACCAAGAAGTCTCGCTCTCCTTCATTCTCTCGATTAGGGGCATGGGAGATTAAGGGCTGAATTGGATATTCCGCGGCAGACCCCATCGGGCAAGGCTCACAATGCACGTGGGTCAGTACCGAAAGTATTGTCTGTTCATCCCAAGAGACAGGTGTGCTCCCGGATACCATAATCCGCTCCCTACTTCTTTTCCAACGACACGTAGTTCGTATACGCGCCCCACATCCGCATATGCCCTTCCGCCCACTCGACCTCCAGATCACCCCGCGCAATCCCTTGCTTCTCCAGGAGCGCGAAGATCTCCTCGCTCACCTCGTGCGCCACCTCCGCCGTAACAGCCCCCGGGGGCATGAGGACCCAGACGATTGGCCGGCCCTGAGGCGCTGGCCACACGTCCTCGTCCTCGTCGCCCTCGCGAACGCGATAGAGGCACGCGTCGTAAAACGTGATGCCTCGGGCTTTGAGCGCTTCGCTGACCTGATGGTGCACTCGCGCCGGGGCATTCCACGCATCGTGCAACGCCGGATGCATGTGCCAGCTGAAGTGGTCGAAGCGTCTCTGGGGGGGCCGCGCACCGGGCGAAGGGTCGGGGAAGGGATTGGTGTGTAGGTCGGAGCGGTAGACGAGCGTGTTGCTGTTTCCGTGATAGTAGAACCATTTCTCGTATTCTGAGACGGCGTAGGGCGAGCCGTCGGTGGTGGTTGACAGTGTCTCTGGATGCGTGCGTACGGCGGCGATCTTTTCCCAAAAGAGGGCGTGCTCGTTGGTAGACTTGAGCTGGTCCAAGGTCGCGCCCACTAGAGAGGCTGTTAGTATAACATACTGGACGTGTTTACCGAGGCGAACCAGAAAGGCTTTATGGATATGTCGAGGTTATTTGTGGCAGGGTATAGGTGAAGGAAAAAGGGGCGGAAACAAACAAAAGAGACTGAATACGAAGGAGGCCCAGAACTCACAGTACATGATTGGGCGCTCTCTCATGTCCTCTATAATTTCTCGGACCTCTTCGGATAGGCCTACAGAGTGGGAAAGTGGTCAGGACACAGCGGTCAGGCCAGGGTTTGCTGAAGGTCGGCGAAGGGAGCGTGGCGCGAGCAAGGGAATGCGAGAAGAGAAGGAGCTCGCCTTCGCCCACAAGCCCCGCCTCCTCCAACTGCTTCTGCTTGTATGGAAACTTGTCTACCGTAGATCTGGTCAACCGAATGCTCGAACGCACAGGGAACACATACGTACGCTGTTTGTCCTTTTTCTTAGGGGCCATCTCGGGCGGCTTGCTGTGCTTGCTAGGATGGACACTTTCCGTGCTAAGGGGTAATGAGCGTTGTAAGCAGGCGACGTACTTTGCTTCCGTTTAGGGGCGTGAGTCGAGATGAGTGGAGATTGCAACTCTGAATCAAATACCTCTTTATGGCCGCGCCTCGTCATCTTACGCATTGGGAAGGTGAGCAGCCCAAATAAAGGCCGTTTAGCAGTACATGACGCATTTGGCCTGGCTAGGGATATCGTCCTTCTATAATGCCATCCTCAGGACAAACGACATCGTATCCAAAACCTCTACAGGCCAAGTTTCCTCCTCGGCGTCGCCGTCACGCGCGCACCAGCACCAATGCCCGTGTGCCTCGGTGTCCCAGGGACTATGATCTTGGTAGCACTCTTGCTAGTCTGCGCGACGATCGCTTCCTCCTGCTGTTGCTTGGCCGTCCTGAGTGCATTGTTAGCGTCTCTGCCAAGGGCATTGTATCGGTATGAACACTCACTCTTCCCTTTGCCTCGCCATCTCCGTCTCGAGCTCTGCGCGACGGGAGAACTCGCGGTCCGCCATGCGCCGATTGCCGCGCTCGTCGAAGTTCTTCTCCTTGACGGAGTAGAAGACGGAACCAAGCTCAGCTGTGCAAAGGTGGCGTCAACCATAGATCACAATCGGTGAAAAGAGTCGTCGTACCCAGCCAGTACGGGTCGATGGCGGTAACCTGCGTCATGTACTCTTTGGACGTCAAAATGAGCTCGTGATAAACGACGTAGGATGGCGTGTCTGAAGGGGATGTTCAGCTTCAGGTCATAGAACGTGCATAATTTGCGTACATCCAAGCCCATACAAGGCGCTTGTTGGGTGCAGATGTGTTGGCAAGCCCGTTCGTATGTTCACGAACTCGCCGATACCCTTGACGCGGGCAGCTTGGTGGAAGTATCCCGCGGTAATGGCTTTCCTGACGACGTCGAAGTCCGTTCCGGCCGAGATGACGGCCATCTTCTGGAACTTCATGATGTCCTCCAACTGGACGCGGACCTCACGAGCCTTACGCAGAAGCTTGGGATGCAGGAAATGACGCATCGCCCACTCGTCGCGGAATCTGGAAATCTATGAGCACAAAGTTCGATACGCACTGAACACCACGTACGCATGACTCTTCCACTGGTTGAACACGTTCAACAGCGTCAAGTGATCGCTCTCCGGCACGTTGAACTTCTCCCTCGCCGCATCCGCCTCCTCCATCCGCTCCTTTGGACGGTAGAACACACTCGGCACGGATAGCATCGACACGATAGTCAACATTTCCGCCGAGCACTTGTACTCGACCGACGCGATGAGCATCTTCGCCATCGAAGGCTCCATCGGGAACTCGCTCATCTTCCGGCCGACGGGCGTCAGGTCACCGACGTTGTCAAGTGCGCCAAGCACCCAGAGCTGGTACATCGAGTTCAGGATGTTGGCCTGTGGCGGCGGGTCCATGAAATCAAACTCAAGCAAGTTCTTGACACCAAGAGACTTGAGCAATAAGACAGTATTGGCGAGGTTGGTGCGCTGAATCTCGGGGATAGTGCTCTCGAAGAGCTCGTTACGATAGGCAGTCTCCGTATAAAGACGATAGCAGAAACTATGAACGGCGTTAGCGTACGAAGGAGGTCGATCCAAGCACCTCCACATACCCGCTGCCTGTACGGCCAGCACGACCCGTCCGCTGGTTCGCGTTCGCTTGACTGATCGGCGTGATCTGCAGCGCGTCCATGCCGACTTTCGGGTTGTATACCTTCAACTTGCAGTACCCGGCGTCCACAACGTACAAGATACCGTCCACCGTCAACGACGTCTCCGCAATATTGGTCGCCACGATGACCTTCCGTCGGCCGTCCGCCGTCGGTTGGAAGATCTTTGCTTGCAGGTCGGCGGGCATCTGGGAGTAGATAGGGAGGACGGCAAGGGCGGGAGGCTCATTGAGCTGCTCGAGACGTTCATTGACCACCTGACAGGTGACTTCGATGTCCTCCTGGCCGGTCATGAAGACAAGGATGTCGCCAGGCGGGAGGGAAAGGTGGATCTGGAGAATTTGCTTGACGGCGGAGTCGACGTAATCCTCGCAGGGAACCTTAGAGTGGAAGGTCTCAACAGGGAAGGTTCGTCCAGGAATGGTGAAGGTAGGTGCGTTGCCGTAAAAGCTGGAGAACTGTGCAGCATGTCAGCGGGATTGCGACCGGATGGAAGGATTGACGAACCTTCTCGGCGTTCATGGTAGCAGAGGTGACGATGAGTTTGAGGTCCCTTCGCCTGGTGAGGACTGCATGATGCGTCAACGAAAGTACGAAATGTTAGCTGTAGCGACATACCTTTCCGCAAGAGACCCATCAAGACGTCGGTACTCAACGAGCGCTCGTGTGCCTCGTCGAGGATGATGACGCTGTACCGATCGAGATCGCCTTCATTGAGAGACTCGCGCAGCAAGACACCATCGGTCATGTCTAGACCAGCACATCAGCCAAGATCGTTCGCGCATAGAGCGGGGCACGTACACTTGATCTTCGTCTCTGCACTAGTGCAATCCTCGAATCGAATGGCATAGCCGACAGTAGAGCCAAGTTTGCACTGAAAGAGATGAGTAAGCGCATCGCAGGTACCAGGGAATTTGAGCGCACCTCCATCTCCTCGCTGACACGCTTGGCTACTGACATGGCAGCGACACGCCTCGGCTGCGTACACCCGATGAGGCCGAACTCACAGTACCCATCCTCGTACAGGAACTGTGCAAGCTGCGTCGTCTTTCCCGATCCGGTCTCGCCAATGACCACGACCACCTGATTCTCGCGCAGCGTCATCATCAGGTCGTCGCGACATGCGAACGCAGGCAGATACTCGCGCTGCTCCTTCAACGTGCGCGTGCGAGCAAACGTACTCTGCCCGGCCGTCTGCTGCATATGCGCCGCGAACTTGGAGTCGCCCTTGTAATCCTCCTTCTCGCCATTCGCCTTTGCCTCCTTCTCCCGGCGCTCGTCTTCGGCTGTGGAAAGAAGACGGAAAGAAAGAAGACTGGCGTGAATGTCCACCATTATAGCAAGAGAGTGAAGAGACACAACGTACCTATAGCCTCCGCCTCCTCGTCCTTCACGCCCATGATGTTGCCGAGCGCGGTACCACCCAGAGCAGCGAGCTTCGCAGCGGCCTTCGCACGTTCAGCCTGCTCGCGCTTCTCCTTCACGAGTGCGCTGCCCTTCTTGGAGAAGACGGCCATGTCGCTAGTGGGGTCGCGGATGGGGTTGATGGGATCGAGTTGCTTTGTGTATACGGTGCGCCCGTCCAGGAATGGTGGCTTGAGGTCGTGGACCATGACGTGCACGGTAGACTCGGACTCGTCTTCGAAGTCGAGGTCGATGGTACGCCGGGTGGCGACGCCGGAAGTGAGCATGCGGTTGGCTTCCCATAGGTCGTTGTCAGCGTTGTATTGGGCTTGGCGGGCGGAGATCTTTTTTCTGCAGGATCTCGTCAGCGGGAGGGAGGCGAGGTAAGTCGATACAGATACATACCGAAGCCTTCGTAGCAATTTCAGCCTGCTTCAACACTGCCAAGTCCTCGTACTGCGCTAGCGGATTGTGCTCCTCATCGCCCGCAATACCCTCCTCCACCCCCGTATACCAGTCCCGATCGAGTCGAACCTGCTCCTCCTCCCACTCACGCACGTCGATGCCCGGCACATTCCCGTCGTCTGAGCCGTCATCGTCGTCCACGCCTCCGCGGTTGGCTCGTGGCGTGGGAGCGTCCCACTTCCGGTTCCGCGCGCCGCCCCATCCCTGCCCGTCTCGAGAGTCGCGCCCGCCGCGGGGCGTCTCGTCCCAATTGGACTGCCGCACACTGGGTGCGTCGCGTCGTGGAGTGGCGTCCCAGCTGCGAGAGTCGCCGCGACGGTCGCGGCTATAGCCATTGTCACGCTCACGGTCGCGGTCATAGTCGCGGTCGCGGTCGTAGTCCCGATCTCGTCCACGACGATCGCCATACCCTCTGTCGCGGTTCGAGCGGCGCTGGAAGTCGCCGAGGCCGCGGGGCTCATCCACTCGGCGCTCGTTTGCAGCCTTGATACCCTCTGGGATGGACATTTTAGCAAAAGATGAATGTCTGAGTAAGCATTTACGCACCGCGAGCGCGCTTGATTTTATGCTCTTCTAACCGCTTACGAGCGACTTCGTTCAGGCCACCGGGATGGGACGGTGTCTCTTCGCCACGCTGACGGATGTTGCCAGCGCGTGCGCCAGGGAGGGAGGGGACTAACCGAGTAATTGTTCAGTCGACGCAAGAATCTCAAAAGCTAGTGTCGCGCACCTTTGAATACGGAATCATCATCCAGCCGAGGTTTCTTCCTCTGACCTTCCTCTGCTGCAGCAGCAGCACGCTTCTCTTTTGCCAGACGATCGAGACCAAGGATGGAAGTTCGCGGCGTTGGTGGTTCCAAGGGCTTCGGGGGTGCACGAAATTGGTGCCGCTGAGCAAAGGGAACGGTCAGCGAAGAACATCAATGAGGGAACTGTAGACACACTGTGTCCTTCCTCTGTAGTCCCCCTGGGCGCATCGGCTCGGGTTGCAACACATCACTGTCATGGACTGTGATGCCTTCCATGGGTTGGGGAGCGACACCGGTTGCCTCTTGCTTCGCATGCGTCAAGATCTCAGAATGCAGCTCAGAAAGGTATGAGTCCTTCAGTTTGGCCAAGCCGAAGGTGCGCGCCGCTGCACATTCTCTTGTTAGCTAGTCGTACACAGGACCACGACTGTGTTCAAACGCACCCTTCATGAACCCCTCCGCATCGTGGCTTTTCGCGATCTCGGTGACGCGTTGAGCAAGGAGGTCATTGGGGGCAAGAGTGTTCAGCGCCTGAGAGAGCTTGATAGCGAGCTGGTGCGTGTACGGGGAGACCTCTTCCCCCGACATGGTGGTCAAAGGTGCGGCGTGCAAACGGCGTCGGCGCTCGGATGAGGGACCGGTACACGTGCGCCGCACATGGATGCCATCCGATCGGAAAGTTCAACTTGGTCGTGACTACCATGGGCAACGCAGCACTGGGAGGTATGCTCGACGATACACGTTTATTCGCAAGTTCTCTGTCGGCTTCAATGCATCCGTCGCTCGGGGTGGTATCCTGCCATCTGGAGTAAGGTACTTACGACTACGTAGCGAGTTCCACCATGACCTCAGAACCTCTTTTCTGCCCACAATTGCCGCTCGCCACTAAGGAAGATCCCACATAGATTCTCGACACCCCCAAATCAGGACCCTCGCGTCTCAGACGTCCAGCTGATAACATGAACACGCAGTACCGAACAGAGGTTTCTCAACAACGCTGCTCGTCGCCCACAGCGCCCACTGACGTTGAAGCTCCGCCGTGATGTAACTCCCCTCATTATCATCGTTCGAGTGGCTCGCCGGGACGTCAGCGCGCGCCGCCTGCCCCGGGATCTCCGCGTTTTGGAGTCCGCTTGTCTTCTCGCTGGAGCCTGCGCATGGAACGTCCAATGCGGAATCAGAACCGGCGCGGTGGGATGAGCGCCGCGCACCACGGCTAGCAGGACACGTTCTGTCTCGCAAGAACTCCATCACTCCCATCCCGCTCGATGAGATCCCTGGGCCCGCAGGCAGGTGGTGGGTGCATTTTGTGTGGCGAGTGGGTGGCGAACACCTCGTCAATGAGGGGACTTCGAATTCTGCTCAAATGCCCATTTTTGACGGAGGGTTCGGGATCTGGTGTGTCTGGATCTTGCTCTGAATCGAGATATCGGCGTCCATCTCGTCTACTGAGATCCCCACAGCTGACTGGTCGCACGACGGCCCGAGGCGGAAGACCGCGCGCACTGGCCAGAGGGACAGGGACTTTACGGCGCACGCAGGCGGGACGTCTTCATTGGCTGGTCGTGGGCGCGGTAGGTATTGGGCGGATCCGGAACAGTGATCCAGGTTATCTGTGGGCCAGGCGAAAGGCAAGGCAGTGGCATTGGGCGGAAAGGCCGGAGCAATAGCATCACCAGCGCGGACGCAGGCCATCCAGCACGGAACAAGTGAATTCAGTACGCATGTGGCCGTGTGCAAGTGCGGTCCCGTCGTGGGCGAGGATACCGTGAGCTGGTCGTTGCCGCGCTGGGCTGATGCTGACAGCGCGACGTATGCCAGCAACTCAAGCATGTGCTAGCAAGTACGGCAGGCTCTCCCACCCAGAGTCTGTTGTTTGTGGCTAGTGTATTGTACCCATTATATTCCCGCCCTCATCGGCGCGAGGCATTGGCCGACGTGCATTCAGGCCTCCGAGTCGGCAGCAGTCAAGGGTGGAGTCTGGGTCTACCAGTATGGCGTGTCGCGAGAGAAACACGGGCTGTGGTCTACGTATGGCCTGCCGCTGCGAGAGATAGCCGGCGCTCGTGCGCTGACCGCACGCCGCGAGAGGAAGCAGAGCGCAGCGTGTCAGGGGAGACGTCCGTATAGCGTAGCTACCAAGATGGGAAGATGGCGGGGTGGAGAGGAGGGTATACGGTTCGGAGCAGAGGCATGCATGCACGGAGTTCAGAGACATCGGGTAAACAGGTCCAATGTCGGGTAGACAGATCCAATGAGCAGGAGTGTAGTGAGAAAGCCTCCGAGGCCCAACTGGCGAAAGGAATCGAGGGATCGTCTCGGGCTTCCAAGCTGCCAGATCTCAGCGTCGAGAACGCCAGGTAGCGAACGGCCTCGAGGGTGGTCGGGCACCGCCTCAGCTTGTCCATAAGTTGAGAGTCGAATACCCCGACGAGGAAATTGAGGAGAGTCGTAGGAGAGTCGAAGAGCCACGAGTGACGTCCCGCCCGTCCAACTGACCATAAAATCGAAGAGCCGCCGGCGGAGTCGGTGTCTATCAAGGAGTTCAGTCCGGTCGACTTCAGATGTTCAGCAGGATATTCATAGAGCTTTGACGTCGAGGAGTTTGGTTCAGAATATCTTGAGGAGCGCTCCGTTAATCGAGGAGCCCGCCGGCGATCTCGGTCAGTGTTAGATAGATATCGAGGACGGGAGGCCGGCTATCGAGGTCAGTTGTGGCCACCTGCGCGCGACGGTGGTGAGGAGCCTGAAATAGCAGCTATACCGACGAAGCTCACCGCACCACTCAAGTTTGCTCTCCTCGCTTGTTTGTAGGTCTCGTCTCGTCAATACTACCAAACAAAAAAAATCATGCATTCCAAACGTAGCTGTCATTAATGTCGTGACCAAGAAGGCGAGGTAGTAGTGGTACCCTAACTTACTCGAGCGTGATACGGATAGATAGATAATGTGTACACTAGGGGTAAACACGCCGGAGGGGGACGCGCAGGCTGGCACTGTAAGGTAGAGCGCCGGAGACGACAGGTAGGGCGCCGGAATACGACGGGTAGGGCGCCTGGAGACGACAGGTAGAGCACCGGGACACGACAGGTATCGGCGCGAATAGACAGGGCGCCGAGCTGCGCGTATGTAAGATGGATACGCGATCAGAGTACACACAGATGGGGACGGAAAGAGACGAGAGATGGAGACGGGGAGAGAGGAGAGATGGAGACGGAGTGAACCAAACAGACAGTGAGTATGTAAGACTAAAGCTTGGTGGAGAGTCGACGCAAGCCCAAGGTATACCGGGTCGGATGATGCGTGCGGGTGGTGGGTGGATGGATGGATGCGAGGGTGGGGGACAGGGTGAGATGATCCCGAGTGTGAGGAAGTAATCCCGATGAGTAAACCCAGAGGTGGAAGATGCAGGTCGAGTGAGGTGTCGCGATGTATGTCAAGATGCAGGGAGGATGAGGATGAGGGCCGCGGGGCGGAGAGCCGCCATAATAGCGCGGAGAAGGAGGAAGAAGAAGACGAAAAAAAAGAGGAGAGCAAGAATAAGAAAGCATAAAGATATTATATGTACAGCGAAGGAAAGCAAGATGATGGGGAGGACGGGGGCGGAGGAGCCGGAAGAATAGAGCGCATATGGGCCATAGAGCATATCATACAGTAGGCGGGGTGTAGGGTAGGTCGGGCGGCGGGGGGACCGGGACGGAGACGGCGGGCAGTGCAAGGTCGCGCTCAGAACGTCGACTGCGCGACGAGGCTGCGGGGCACGCCGAGCATGCTCTGCTGCGGCTTGTACCACGAGATGCCGAGGCCGTCGTCCGAGGAGGTCTCGTCGACGCGCACCGGGACAGGAGTGGCGGGCGCCTCCTCCTGCCTCACGGGGAGGCGGTAGCGGAACTCGCCGTCCTGGACGAAGACCCCCTCCCGCCTCCTGCGCTCGCGCCGCTCCTCGCGCTCCCACTCGACCTCGTAGGGCGCCTTGCCCCAGGGCACGTTCCGGCGCTCACGCTCGGGGGCGGCGGGGGGCGTGTCGACCTCGTCGATGGCGGCGGGCGCGACCCAGGGCTTGTGGCGGTCGCCAAGGGGCACGGTGCGCTTGCCGGCGGGCACGACGGAGGGCGCGGGCTGCCAGCGACCGCCACCGGAGAGCTTGCAGAGCGCAGAGCAGCGCGCGAGCGGGTAGGCATCGAGCGGGCCGTACGACGGCTCGCCGGGCATCTTCTGGATGACGGGCGAGGGGACGCGCGGCGAGGTCGCGGCGGAAGAAGGATGGGAGGCGCCACTGCGAGAGCTCGAGCCGGCAGAGGAGGTGGACGCGAGGGAGGCCATGGAGGTCTTGTTGCGAAGGGTGCGGATGGGCGGGGTGAGGATGCCGGACGAGGCCGGGGAGGAGGCCCGGGAGTCCGCCGCCTCAACAACGCGGGCGTCGGGGATGGAGGGCGAGCGCGCGACGCCATAAATCTGGTCGTGGCACTCGATGCACACGCGCGCGTTGACGACGGGGCTCTGGGAGGACTGATACTCGAATATGCTGTGGCCGCGCGGGGGCTGGAGGAAGGGGAGGGCGCGGACGTTGAGGAGGGGCGTCGTGCGGGAAGTACAAGCGCGGCAAAAGATGCCACCGCACTTGCGGCAGTGGTGCCTGCGCTCAAAGATGCCGAAGGTGGTGCGGCAGTAGAAGTAGTCACACGAGGAGCTCGTCGAGTCGGGCTATGGACGTTGTCAGTGGGGGGAGCGGTGGAGAGGGTGTAGGGTACACACCTTCCACAAGTGCTTGTCGAGGAGCACAGCCAAGTGCTCGTTCGGGCGGATGGGATGGGACGAGGGGGAGGCGGGCTGCATGAGCGTGGAGGAGCAGCCACCCGACGAGGCAGAGAAGACAGAGGACGCGTCGTCAAGGTCAGTGTGGAGGGTGGGGAGATGGGTGTGCTCCATGCGAGTGGCGGGGGCGGAGGCGGCAGCGTCCGCGGCAAGGAGGGCAGCGTCGAAGGCGTCAGCAACGGGGGAGACGGCGGGAGCCATGGTTGGAAGACGACTCCCAATCAACGCGCAATAAATAAGCGGGCCATCAACACATGGCTGCCCAATTACCCGACATCAATCGACCATCCACACGGAACACAGATCTCAGATTTGCCTTTTGGGGTAAACGCCATTCTCCCTCCGGCCGCGGAGATCGAGAAGCCCACATGGCCCGGGTGGCGGTCGCGCGCGGCTGTCGGATGCCACCGGTGCCGGCCGACGAGGAACAGAGTGGTGGCGGCCCACGGCGCGCATACCCCATCGTCCCGCACGTCCGTGCCCCTCTGCCCAGTGCCCATGCCCACCTGCTCAATCATCCGCTATTCAGTCCTCCATCGCTGGCTTCAGCGATCTCCCCGACACCATACGCTCGCGCACAGCCGCACTCGGGCCACCCTAGCGCGGTGCGAGATCGTCGCGCATCGCGCGCGTCAGCTGGATTTTCGCCCTTTCCCTTTTGCCCTCTTTTTCGAAGACGGAAGAGCCTTTGGGGACTGACGTTCCCGCCAGCTTCTTTGACACGTTCCCCTTTACAATGCCCCGTTTGTGGACCCGAATAGGGAGGTGCATAGCGCCTGCGTCTCCACGTTGACAGTGACACAGCCCGCTCTCGCGCTGCGGTACACGTACGCCCTGCCTCTCCCCGCTTTACATCGTGCCCGGGCTGTCGGGCTCAGGCTGCACTCGGGAGTCGGCCACCTTCACTGCCACTGCGGACGCTCGTGTGGCGCGCAGGAGCTCGGCTTAGCTGTGTTCCTCTCCCGCCCAGCCGCTGCTTACAGCACCCTTCCGCGCCGGCCACGCCCTTTTCTTCCGCGTCTGCCTCCGCCCCCGACAGCCGTTCCGCGCCTTCTGGGCGCAAGCCTACTCCCAACCTTCCTCGTGCTGAGCTCCCGAGCTCCCATAGCAACTTTTGTCCTTGTATTCGTTCGGCGACTTCTCTGTGGTGCAAATATGTATGATGCCTGTCGTACTTTGTATGCCGTGTGCTGCGTACCAGGAACCACTATCCCGGCCCCGGTGAACTTCGCGTCAACCTCGCCTCTATAACGGCAGCTCGCAGGACTCCCGGGGCATGCTAGGGCGTGCTGGTGGGGAGCGCCTCCACGAGTACGTACGTGCCACGCCCAGTACACCTCACGAGGTGATGAGGGGGTGTGAGACAGGGACTCGGAAAGACACTCAGACTGCGGGCGGGCTTTTGGCGGGACTTACGGCCCCTCGTTCCACGTTCGCGTTGCCACGACGGCTGCCTCGGGCTCCCCTTCATATCTTTGGTGTGTGATCTCGGGATTTTGGCTTTCACGAGCGAGTGCAGGCTCTCCTCGTCTCTTCATCACTTCGAACGAGGGATTTCTGGTCGTGCGACATAACAGCCGACCTCTCGTTGGCTACTCGAACTCGAGACCTGGAACCCGGTCCGCACGCCCGCACTCGCTGGTGAGACGCCGGAGCGTCGGCTTCTGGGCATATGTTATCCCCCAGCGCTCCCCTCCTTGCCACTTGGTGTTATGCCGCGCTGCTGACATGTCCCTTCCCCGGTCGCAATACGCCTCGCACGCGTTTTATCGCTTTTAATCTCTGGATTATCGCATGTCAATCTCTGTTTTATCGCGTGTGATCCCTGATGTTATCCCTCGTGAGCAGGGTACGTGGACATCTGCGCTGCGACGATGGTCGTGGACCGAGTCGTAAAATGAAGACCCTGCTCCGGGGAGCTTTCCGCCAGCGTGTGCTACCCCACCATCTCGCACGCATACAGTATAGCCGCCTGCACACCTTCTACCGCCTCACCGACGCAACCCGACGCCTGCCTGGTGCTGTGGAGGCGCAGCGCGATCGCACATCCCGACGATCCGAAGTCGTACGCGCGCGACGATCCCGCCTCGTGATTTCGAGACGGCCAGGAAATACCTCCGCCGTACGTGGCGAGGTCCTGCCGCGTGCTACGATCCGCGTGCGGCGACGTGGCACGGCGTGATCGACCACGGACGCGCCCCTTGCGCGGCAATTTCAGGACACCGCGCGCACGGCGTCCCTGATTCTGAACCCGTCCCGCTTGACAGGGCACGTCGTGCGGGGATCATACGGCCTGCTGAGTGCGCCATGAGCGTGAGGACGATGCGCTGGTGAGCTCAGAGGCGGGAGAGGGCTATACTTCGATGGGCTAGTAAGGCTAGTAGTGCCGAGACGTGGACTAGCGAGGTGCAGTTGGGCCAAAAATGCTGAAGTATTTTGGCTCGATGACAGCGGCGCGTGCAGCGATGGAACGGAAGAAATATGCAGGGAGCGGAGGCAGACTCCATGCGCTGGACGGAAGAGTAGCTGAGGCACAGCACACCCGGCACGGCTCTGCGGCTGGAGGCTTTCGATGAGGTTACGGAAGGCTATGCGCAACAGCGTGCTCACCGTTTTCATTTGTTCCTCCCCCGCATCGCAAGGTTGTCTTCCGCCGTTTCTTGTCCGTGTCTTCGCTCTCGGGAAAAGGTTTGTTGGTCTGCTTACGGACTGTTGAGCAAAGACAGGCAGGGACCACGGATACTAGCGCGCCCGAGCACGGCCTCATCGCCGACGAATCGCATCGGGGCCATCTGTCGTACGGCTTTCTCCTCGCGCTCATGTGCTCGTCTTCATCGCTTGTCCATCTTCGCGCGCTAACAGGATGGGAGTTCTGCCCGCGCTACGAATTCCTGGCCGCACAGTCTGCTAATACCAGTCCGGGCTCTACAAATCGTACACAATTTATTCCCAACGCGTGCTGTGGGCCTGCCCTTCGCCGGGGACTACATACGCCCAGCCTTCGTGTATTCTGCCGGTCCCTCGTGCTATCGGCTGATCATGCCCATCGCGGGCGTCCCCCGACGCGCTTCGTCGATGGGGGATTTATCGACAGGCCATCGAGAGATGGATGAGCGCACGATCAGCTAGTCCAGCGAAGGTCGCGGTGCCGAGCGATCAGTCCTGCGATCAGCACAACGTGTTCCGTGCGGGGAGCGCATAATCGATCCGGGGGGACCCCATGTTCTGCTCGGAGATGGGTTATGGATGGGCCTGGCGATGCGTGCGCTTGACGAATGGCTGCCGCGGTAGACAGCACTGACTAATGAACTTGGGCGCCCGCTATGTACCCGGTGTCTTTTACCACTCGAGAGGAAGGTGACCCTCGACTGACAAGACCCAGGAGAGAGCAGCGATGGCCGATGGCGCTGAGCTGGCGATCGATTTCCGGTGTCTATACACGGTGAAGCAGATTAGATTATCGGTGGTACCTAGGGAAGGTGATCTGAAGAGGTGAAGATTATCTCTCGTGCTGAAGATCATCTCGATGCAGCAGAAGAAGATCAACCATACTTTGGACCTCGCCCTCGCCCGACCGGGATGGGGGTAAAGAGAAGAAGAACAACGGCACAGCGGGACGCCGCGAGAAGCATCCTTGTCGGCATCGAGCGCGACGAGCTGTGAGGGAATTTGTTGGTGGACGGTAGCGCTGAGAGAATTTGTTGGCAGTAGCGCCGGCGCTAGCGTTGGCGAATTTGTTGGCCGGGGTCGGTGGGCGGTCGAGGCCCGTGTGTGATGCTCTCCTGCGCGTGCGGCCCGTCCACCTGTGCGCTTGGAGGGTGTTTGGCCTGCCGGGGTTTCTCCGCTAAGGCCTCTAACGCCGTCGTTCAATTGAGCGGGTTTGATTGGGTGGCGGGCCGAGGTGAGGGTGGGCGGTCGTGTGAGCCTGTGAGGCAACCGTGGGGTGCGCTGCGCTAGTGCCAAGGCGTGGGGAGGCGAGTAAGAAAGGGTGAGGCGGATGGAGCGAGTGGTCAGGAAGGGGGCGAGTAGCGAAGGGGGGCGAGTAGTCAGGAAGAATCAGGGCGAATACTCACGTAGAGTCACTAGTGATGGTAGTGTTGGTGCTTTACGACCATGTAGACCCGGCCGGTTTTGTAACAGAAGGATGCGCAATGTATCTGTTCGTTAGAGTAGAGACGTACCTAGTGATAGAGGAGAATCTAGTGACCCGCCTTACGCACTTCATCTACCGGTGTCTTGCCCATGTTGCGAGATTGAAAGGGTGTTCATTTCGCGGTGAGATCGTGGTCCGTCGTGTTCATCTCGTGCTGGGTTAGCGCATCGTACGATACTTTGCGTGAATGGTCGATTGCCTTGCGCGGAGGACCCTATACAGAACGTGTAGGGTGTACGAAGGGTAGGGGGCGCGTCGTGCAATGTGGGGAGCGGAAGGGAAGTACGTCCGAGAACCCCATCTACCGCGCAGGACATGTGGGACCTGCAAGCGATTACCCAACTTGAGTAATGAGCATTGTATACAGTTGATACATGACTTACCAAAGAGAGCCCCGATCGCGGGCTGCGGCGAGAGGAGAAGGGGCTGCTTGGGGACTGCGGTCGAGGGAACGGAACTTGCAATCGAAGGAAGGGCCGGAGGCTACGGACAGGAGCCCCCGCGAGACCCCAGAACGCTCTCCGGAGATGAATTTGGTACAGGTGGTGCAGAACTCTCATGGAGCATGGGCGCGATGAAGGCCAGTCTCGTACAGGGATCGAAAGCGATGCAGGTAGAGCAAGATATATGAAGCACGATGACAGTGTCAGTACAGGTCTTAGTAAAATCTGCTCAACGTCATGAGCTCCTGCTGTCATGAGGATGACAGGGTACTCACAATCTACGCATCGAACTTGCAACGGCTCATCCAGAATGCCTCTGCAACGCCCAGGACAAGGTCGGTCGTGACGGAGTCGAAGTAGTGCACATCGTGCGAGGCTGGAGGCTGAGTACGCGACTGAGAGCGCTGCCGCCGAGAGGCGGCGAGTAGGTTACTGAGGATTTCCGTCATTTTGCGGGTAAGAAGGTCGTCTGGTGCGCCAAGGTCATCCGAAGATTCGTGCTTGCCAGGGGCGGGGTCGAGGGCGAAGATACTGCAGGCAAGGGAGGAGAGATACCAGAGTGCTTCTTTGCGAGCGAGGGGTTCGAAAGTCGTAGACAGTTCGGAGCTTGGCGGGGTTTGCGTGACGGACTCCATCTCACGAAGGATACCCAAGGCAAGGGAGTCCTTTAGTGGTTGTCGTAGACGAGTTGTTGAGAAAGCGCAAGATCGCAGCGTATCGTCGCATAGCCTGAGTGTAGTGACGACGAGCGATAGCATATACGGTCGTATATCAGGCGGCGGTTCTGAGGACGTCGATGGTACTTCCTTGGGCATGAAGATGTCGCACAAGTATAGTCGGCTTTCGGGAAGAAAAGACCGGATGAGAGGGGCTAAAATCTCGGCGGAAAAGACCTTCAGGAAGGATTCTGCGGCGGCAATGTCGTCGGATGTCGTCGAATATCCAGTTGTAATGGCACCCGATACCGAAGGCGCTAACAGGATCGGGAGAACACGAGGAAGTGCCCACGAGACGAGCGTAGCAGCGATCTGCAAGGCAGCGATTGTCGGTCTGCGCTGTCGCAAAACTTCGGCGGAGAGCGTTTCCAGAGCACGTATCGAAGTAGTGACAACGACGTCCTTTCCGTCGAGGAGATATCCTTCTTCAATCGCTATGATTGCATCCTCGACCGCGATCCATGGATCTATCAGACCGTGTTTCGGCACAGGAGGACGAGCTATGCGTATTGTCGGTTGAGCTTTTGTGGCACACGCTGGAGAGACGGGCTACTTACGATTGGGTGTTGCAGGCTCGATAGAGCTGGACAGTCTCGTTTGAAGATAGTTTTCGAGAGGTGATGGGGAAAGTGGAGCGATGGACTCGAGGGGGATGGACACCGATGTGACAGTGCTTGGATGGGACAACGGATCGTTCCCCAGCTTCCGTGAAAGGGTTGCGTTCTCTGGAATGATCGTCAGTGCTGAGAACATCACATAGCGGTATGGTCTGGACGGACTGATCTTCTCGTCCTGAAGTTGCCTTCGTAAGGAGGACACCGTTTCCTCTATTTCCTCTGTCCGACGTCGACATTCACAAGACGTCGACGACGCGGAGGCCGGCGGCAAAAGTGTCTGTAGGTGCAGCACATAGCCTGAGGGTTTTTGAGGATCGTGATGGACGCGCGGAAACAGGTCCTCCTTACCGGCATATGATTGCTCAGGTGGTTTGCTTCGGGCGATCGCTACAGCCTGAGGTGTGATCCTGTTAGATATGCTCTGACTGCTGTGAGGATTCAACGTACGAAAGCAAGGCGGACGACGTCTGTTTGGTTTATCGATGCAGGATGATGCGCGAACATGGCACGTCGTGCGTATATACGTTCAACAAGAGTAGAGGCCAAGTCGCGCGACGCGTGCAGACGCGAGCGTCACAGGCATCACGGTCACGCTTTAGCTCACTCTTGCCCACACGAGCGCATATACACAGACAGAGCGTTATCGCCCTCAAGATATTCACATTGCAGTTGCCTGTGTACATATCATAGAGGCAACGATATGTTAGCATACAAGAAAGTTCATGCTCCTATGAGCAGGTCTATCTTCAAGAATTCGTTTGTAAGTATGGTGGGAGAGCATGCATGCATGTCGGGCGGGCACGGCCGCGAGCAAGAAGAGAATAAGCAGTAGCAGAGAATAAGTAGAATACTTAGGAGGCGGTAACGTATGCAGATAATGTCCATTTATTTAGTCTAGGGGGAGTCAACACCGGGCGCTTTCAAAGCTGGGGGACCAGATACTCACCGTAGTCAGCCCGCTGGCGCGCCGCTTGATGGTCTGCGCGCGTCGAGCGCACGATGGGCGATTCTTCGACAGACGCCTGCGCCAGCATGTTCAAGGACCGCATCGCGGGCGAATTCGTTGTAGTCTGCCGATTCTCCCGCTCTGCGCGCTGCACGGGGCTTTCCTGCACCATCCGCGCCCGTGCGGAGGGGCTGAACAAGTTTCCACCAGGATGCCCACCGCTGGGCGGCTTGTGATGCTGCACTACCCGCGGCCGCGGCGTCTGCGTCTGCCCGACGGCGCCGACGGACCTGTTGGCTGCCCACAACAAACTCGTGCCGTTCGTCTTGGGCGTCGTGAAGTTGGTGGGGACGCGGATGCCGCGCGACGGCGTCGACATGGGGTCGAAGCTGTCGTCGTAGTCCTCGAAGAGGCCTGAGTTCGGGGTCTGCATGAACACGCGGGGCGTGGTGGGGAACTGGCTCTGGCGCGGCGTCGTGGGCGGACCGGAGCGTGACCAAGATGAGGAGGTAAAGTCAGAAGAAGGGTCGTCGCGCCGCGGTGGGGTGCATGGAACGCGCATGGACTGCCAATCGGGAGAGGGGAAGGGCGAGTCAGAGAGTGACGGGAAAAAAGAAGCGTCGTCATGCGCACGCTGGATTGCGGGGAGGTCCTCGGTCGGCACAAAGGTCGGCTCGCGGTAGACGACGGGCTCGTGCTCGTCGTCCGATGACAGCGACCTGTCGTCGACACATCGCTCGCAGTACCAAGGGTCTTCCTCCTTCCCAAGCTCCGCCATGTTCCGGATCCCGAGGCACCTGAGGTGGTACCACGTCCGACACCCGTCGCACTGTACGAGGTCCTTCCCGTCGTCGCGCCCCTTGCACACGCAGATCATCTCGTTCTGCCGGTCCGTGAGGGCCCGCGACCTCCGAAAGCTCAGCGCGCGCACGCTCTTCTTGGCCAGGAGCGCCGCGCGCGCGTCGCCGGGGTCGCTCGGGAAGAAGCTGCGCACGGTCGCCGCGCGCGGGCGGCGCGCCGCCTCCGGGTCCGCGTGCAGGGGCACCATTTTCCCCCGCCCGCGCCGCGGGGGCATCGGCCGGTCCGCCGTGTCCTCGTACACCTGCCCCCAGGACGCGGACGGCAGGATCTCCTCGTCCTCGCCGACCGTGCCCGCGACGGAGTCCGCCTCGTCGTCGCTCTCGCGGTCGAGGAACTTCTCGATCCACTTGAGCTTCTCCTCCTCCTCCTGCCGCGCGTGCTCCTCGCGCTCGTCCGTGCGCAGCTTCCAGGGAAACTCGGCGTCGGGCCAGTTCGGGCGGTCGCCGGTGTGGAGGTCGGCGGTCATGACGGTCGCAGCGAGCGTGCGGCGCTCCTCGGGCTTCTTGCGGCGGCGGCCCGGAGGCCCTTTCTTCTTGGTGGAGGACTCGCTCGCGCTGTTGGGCTCGGGGAGCTCTGACGGGAGGACGTCAAGGAGGACGCGGCCCTTGCCGGCAAGCTCGACGGGCATGAGCTTGGTGGGCTGCGTGTTGCCTACGGGGGATTCCCCCTTGAAAGCGGCGAGGCGCTTGCGCTTGCGGAGCTCCTTCTCGGTAGGCGCGGGAGGCGGCGTGGGATCGATGTTCTCGGGAGAGTTGGCGTTGTTGGGAGCCGTGGCAGCGGGCGTGGGCGTGAGTCGCTGCGTCATCGGAGGGATAGGTTGAGGTGCGCGGACCCAGTCTGCTGTGCGCTGGATGCAAGTTAGTAGATAATTCTAAGGGGAACAAAGTCGTCCACTGACGTAGCGTCCGTAACCGCCAGCCATCAGGCTCTCCTCGAAACTTTCCTCCGAGGTTTCCTGGAACAACTTGATTCGTCGACCCTTGCTAGGGCTGTCCATGATGCCCAAGTTTCGCTCCCTCAGCACATTGCCCTCATCGAAGGCGGTAGGATCAGCCTCAACCAATGTCCTCTTGGTGCGGACGAGGTACTCGGGGCGCCGCGACTCGGCTTCCTGGTACTGCGCGAGCTGCTGCTCCATCTCCGCCTGACGGATTCGTTGCAGCTCACCGCCGGTGCCGACAGGAAGGGCGAGACCAGCGTCGACGAGCGAGTATGATACGCCTGCAGCAATGTCGGCGTTAATCGGGGGAGGTGTTGGTGGCGAGGAGAGTCGCGATGGGCTATCAACGGGGGGACGTTCGCCACCAGCGCTGGCATGAAATGCGTTCGAGCTGGTCGAAGCGAAGATGTCGTTGGCATGGAAGGACCCGGTGCGGTGGGGAGTTTGAGGCGACTGCGATGACGCTTGCCGATCGACCATTGCGAGGCGGGCCATGAAGGGCGAAGCTCGATCTGGCGCGTTGAGTGCTTGATTGGGGGTAGACACTCTCTTAGATGAGGGGATGGAAATGGGTGATTCAAGGCCGTTTGCTCTGCGTGGTATTGGTCAGTGTTGTTAAATGAGACAAGAGCATGCAAACGCACTTGAACGAGATAGTGGGCAAAGGTGAGTCTTCTGAAGCATTGGAAGGGGTCCTGATACAGATGAGTGCTTGCAACTTTGCAGATAAGCGGATAGCGCTCACATAAATTGGGGTGTCGCAGGAAGGTTGGTTCGTGGAGGGGTCTTTCGTCCCGCGAATGGACTAGAACGAATGCGTGAATGTCAATGACGGCCTCGATGTTTAGTCATACACACCTGGCATCGGGAGTCATCGGCTGCTGGGCAGTCGATGGTGGTCGCAACGGACTGCGGCACATATGAGTGATAGAGCGCCTATTTTCAACGTGAATGGACTTACGATGACTGAGGTTGCGGCCGATACGCATATGTGGGTCCAAGAGGAGAGTAGGGGGTGGTGGTCCTTCGTAGACGGGTGAGTGGGCGATTCCATGCGTTGTGAAGATCAATATGTACCCTATGGTCACCGGGGAGGATGGATGGGAAACAAGGCCGAACATGTAAGGACCCCAATTGTTGGGACTGAAGGAGAAAATGATGAGTTATGAGGGGATCTGTTTGGCTGATCAACGCACCTCTGAGGCGTCGGTAGGTGCGTGAACCTGTGCGCAGACGACGCAGGATCGCTGAAGATATAGGTTGGTGTTTGCCAGCAAGCAGTCACTGCGGCGCACCTTGATGCAGCGATCGAGGCCCCAGTTGTTTGTAGAGAGGGGGGCACGTTGGAAGATTGCAGAGGAGCCGCAGAGGGCATTGCTTGGGTAGGGTCCGTCGACGCCGTCGTAGGCTGACTGGCCATGAAGAAGATACGAAGGGGGAGGGGGTAGCGCAGCGGTTGACAAGGGAGCAAGCAGATAAGGGAGTTCGGGGAGCGAGTGCAGGCGAGTTGAGCGTTATGGATGGAAGCAGGTCAGCGGTGTGAAGAGCAACAATGGCCGCCACCGTCAAAGGCAACTTCCCACTTGGAATTTCGTCCCCGGCCCCGGAAGGGGGCCCGGACCCCCTACTACGTCACCTGATATCGCGTCCCTGGCTTGACTGAGCAGCAGCTGCGTTCGACCGTCACCGTCGACCGTCTCGACGAGTCTTTACCTCATCACTACCATTGACAGTCCCGGCTTCCCACACACGATGAGCTTGAGTAGCTGGCTATGGGGCTCCTCGCAGCTCGACGACGCCATTGGTGCGTCCGTCCACAGCTCAGCCGCGTCTATGTACTGAACTGCGCGCAGAGAAGGCGACGTCCGAGCTGTTACCCGCTGGCTCAGAAGATATCGCGCTCAACCTCGAGATTTGCGACCAGATAAGGTCGAAGGCTGTTCCTGCGAAGGATGCTATGAAGTCCTTGAAAGCAAGGCTTAATCACAAGAATCCGAATGTGCAGTTGCTGGCGCTTGGGGTGCGTTATCCCTCTCTTAAGCTATCTGCCACCATCGTTGACGCTCCTTTAGCTCACGGACGTCTGCGTGAAGAATGGCGGCGACCACTTCCTCGCCGAAGTCGCCTCCCGCGAGTTCATGGATAACCTAGTTTCCATCCTCAAGATGCCCACCCTCAACAACGACGTCAAGACCGCCATCCTGCGCTATGTCCAGAACTGGGCCATTGCCTTCGAGGGCAAGGCCGCATTGAGCTACGTCGGTACGATATATAAGCAACTGCAGAACGAAGGTACGTGGCCCTTTCAATGCATAGGAAGTACTCCGGTATTGACCGACATGCGTTTGTGCAGGCTTCGCCTTCCCTCCGAAGGATCCAGCATTAGCGACCACGGCGATGGTCGATACCCAGACAGCGCCCGAGTGGATCGACTCCGACGTTTGCTTGCGGTGTCGCACGCCATTCACCTTCACCAACCGCAAACATCACTGTAGGAATTGCGGGCAGGTGTTCGATCAGCAATGCTCCTCGAAGACGATGGCGCTGCCGCACTTTGGTATCGCGCAGGAAGTCAGGGTGTGCGATGGGTGCTACAATAAGCTGCGGAAGCGCGGGTGCGTACCATATCTCTTCCGTTGTCGAACTGCCTGAATACTCACGTATAATGTGATACAGCGACAAAACTCATCGACACTCCCAAAGCCTGCACGCCCACCGCTCGCGCGCTGCGCAAGACATCGCCGATGCGGAGCTACAGCGCGCCATCCAGCTGTCCCTAGAGGAAGTCGGCGCAGCGGGCGCGCGACGCCCGGGCTACGTCCCCGCGCAACCGTCCCAACCCTCGGGCTGGTCGGAACCGCCCATCGTCGACCGCGCAAGCCGGCCCAGCGCAGCTTACGCAGACGACGACGACCCAGACCTGCGCGCTGCGATCGAAGCAAGCCTGCGCGAGGCGAACGCACCCAAGCCGAGCGCCCCCATCGCGATGGAGAGCCCTAGTCAGCCGGTCTTCGAGGCCCGCGCTGGTCCAGGATTCTCGCAGTCATATCCTAGCTCGTCACATCTGTCCTCGGCGCCTTTGCCCCACATACCCAATTACGACCTGGAGCCGCTGGAGGAGGATGCGATATTGACGTTCAGTCAGACGGTGGAAGCGGTGCATGCGCAGGGCGGGCGGGATATGGCAAGGTATCCAGCGGTGGGTGAGCTGTACAACAAAGCAGTCGGCCTGCGCCCAAAGTTGGCGATGGGATTAGAAGATGCGGGGAGGAAGGAGGGTGAGTGCAGTCGTTGTTCTGCGATTACCTGGAGGGTGATAGGCTGATGCGCGACGTACAGAAGTTTTGACGGAGATGCACGATAAACTGAGCCAGGCAGTGAAGTTGTACGACCAACTGTTGACGCAGCGGGTGGCGCAGCCTCAGTGGAGGCAGTCGACGTATGCTCAGCCACCGCCGCAACAAGGTTACTCTCAACAACAGCCAGCCTATCAGCAGCAAACGACGTATGCGCCGCCGCAACAGCAGCAAGCATACCAATCTCAGCAGTATACTCAATGGCAGCAGCCCCAGCAGGTTTCCGCGTCTGTTCAGCAGGAATCGACAAGTTATATGGCGCAAGCGACCTCATCGCCGCCTGTGGCGTTCCAACCGCTGGCATCTCCGGCAGCGTATCAGCCACCACAATCGCCTGTTAGTGCTCAGCCGTCCGCGTACCAGCAATCCTTCGCAGCTACCCCCGCTCCGCCGTCTATCCCCCACGTCACGTACTCGCCTCGGTTTACGACAGATGGCGCTTCGACGCCGACGCCGGGTATTGAACAGCAGCAGCAAAACCCAACGTCTGCTGCCCCGCCACCCGTGTCTAGCTCTCCAGTGCAAGGACAGCCTGTCCGGAGGAGCCAGACGGTGTCGGTGGCCGCTCAGCCGGCGCAGGCGAACGTACAGAGGTCCGGGACGTACGCGGCGCGGTCGCCCAGCGTGCAGCAGTCGTACCACGCCCCGCCTCGAGCGAGCTACCAGACGCCGTCGGGGGCTCAGCCGCAAGGATACCAGTCGCCGGTGTACCAGGCGCCGCCCCCGCCGAGCGTGAATCCGATGGCGTTCCCGGTTGCGCCGACGTCGACGCCGCAGAGCTTCCCGATGTATGGGCCGAGCGTGCCGCAGGGTATCGTGGAGGAGCCGAGGAAGGAGGCGGCGTTGATCGAGTTGTGAGGGGAGGTGGAAGTTGCTGTGTAGGAAGGATGAAAGCGTACACTGGATGGACTTTTGTTTATCAATGCGCTTATTGAGGCTACGTTCTGTACATCGTTCGTTACATGCTGAGAATATCTACTTTGGATGGGGCCCTTTGGTACAGAGTAAGGAAGTTGCGAGGGAGGGGAGAGTCATGCATCGGTGCGGTCATAGATACATTGTTGAGTCCATTGGCCCTCTTGAGATCGTCTGCACCCCTCTCATCGGAGTCCCTTCCCTGCCCTCCGCCTCTGCCTTTGTGATGATTTTCCACGGAATCATAATCTGCCCAACAAAGCGCCCATCGTATTGGGGCGGCTGGCCTATTTGTGCATTGTCTCCCGTGGTCTTCTGCGCCCGGTACTCCTCGGCATTGACTAGGAGGATGTTCAGGGGCTTGTCCGTGCCGGCGAACTGGCCCAGGAAGACGCGCCCATCCGTGACGGTGATGCGCAGGGTGCTACGGGTGAGGGCGCGTACGCGGGCGATATTGGGGGTGGTGGGGGCGGTGTAGGACGCGGAGGCGGCGTCGAGGAGGGACATGAGCGGTCGTAGATGGGCAGTGACAGCCTCGTAAAGGGTATAGATTGTTGGCTCGACAAGTCGGACGCGGTCGAGATGAAGGTACTAATTTAGACGCGCTGCGCGCCACGTTACGTTTCCCGCCCGTCACGCGGCGCGTGTCACGCAGGACGTGTCTTCAGCTGGACGCCAAGTGCCCATCCATCCATTTATGAACCCTTTCGACAGCGAGGCGGCTCGGAATATGCAGGGCCCCCACCAGACGGCGGATACGCACAAGTACTCGGTCATCCTACCGACGTATAATGAGAGGAAGAACCTGCCAGTGATGGTGTGGTTGTTGGCGAGGGTGTTCGAAGAGAAGTGAGTGTTCGGCTGCTATGTGAGGGTAGTAAGGGAGAACTATAGGAGGAATGGCTCACGCTACTTCCAGCGAGCTAGCATGGGAGATCATTGTTGTCGATGATGCGAGTCCGGACGGGACGCAGGAGGTGGCGAGACAATTGGCGGGGGTATATGGGGAGGATAAGATCGTGCGTAGTCATTCATCTGGTTCTCCTCTTATACTGACCTTAGATCCCCCCTGTAGGTCTTGAAGCCACGGTCTGGAAAGCTTGGCCTAGGGTATGCTCTCCTTCCATCCACGATATATGTATTGCATTCCGACAACCTTTCAGGACGGCGTATATCCATGGACTGAACTTCTGCACGGGCGACTTCGTCATCATCATGGATGCCGACTTCTCCCATCATGTACGCCTCGCCTTTCCTCGTTATTGATTGTGCTCTAACGATGCCTTGCAGCCAAAATTCATTCCCCAGTTTATTCGGTACGCCCTGTCCACGGTCGCCCTTCGGTCGCTGACCGGCTACCAGACAACAGAAGGCACATAACTTCGATATCGTGACGGGGACGAGATACAGGTCTACCGCTAAGCCAGCTATGGTCGACCAGAAGCCAGGAGGTGTCTTCGGCTGGGACTTGCGGCGAAAGCTGGTATCCCGAGGCGCGAACTTCTTGGCCATGACTGTCCTGAATCCAGGAGTGAGCGACGTGACGGGGAGCTTCAGGTACGTGCGCATGTTATCGTGGTGAAGGGGCGGGCGCACTGACGTGCTGCTCCAGACTATACCGCCTGCCAGTCCTACGGCACATCATCACGGTGACCGAGTCGAAGGGCTACGTCTTCCAGATGGAAATGATGGTGCGCGCGAAGGCTCTGGGGTACAGCGTCGGCGAGGTGCCCATCACGTTCGTCGACCGCATCTTCGGCGAGAGCAAGCTCGGCGCGGACGAGATCGTGTCCTACGCGAAGGGCGTCTGGGGCCTGTTCACGGGTGTATAACTGCGTTATGACGTCATTCAGCCGGATCTGTTTTGTCATCGTCATCGATACCCAATTCAGCTATATATCGCGTTCACGCCCGTTGCTTCTGTACTACTACCGTCATCTGCACCGGCCACCACAATGAGTTTGCTGCAAGGCGTTTTGAGATCATCAGCGACGAACGCGGAGCTCGACAAGAGCGTCGATGGGCTCTGCCGTCCTGGGAACGACAAGGACACGGACTCAGACGAGGAGTGGGTGAATGTGGTGCGTAGCGCGACCCCCCTTGCGCTTTGAGGGATGCTGACTGAGCGACTTGTAGGTGTCTGTACCCGGAACTCCTGCTCGCACTCGCCCGCCTTCGCCAACCAGGGGATCTCGCCCAGCATCACGTACACCGATTCTGACCTCCAAGAAAAGCCGCGACCCACTCAGGGTGTTCCCGACGGAGGTGTCGCAGCGGATATTCTCGAGGCTGAGGATACGCGATCTGCTGAAGTGCACGCTGGTGTGCAAGAAGTGGGCCCGAAGTCAGACGCTGAACTATGGTGCGCTGGATTTGTTGGCAGTGGCGGGGAACGTACCACTGACGTTGAGCAACAGTTTGGTACCAACACTATCGGAAGGAGAACTACAACGACGATAGCTTGCCGTCGGGCAAGTGGACGAAGCGCGAGTCGAAACAAAACTGGGTATGTTCCGTTACCCTCCCTTGACTCATTCCACATCCCCCTTACTCATTTCGTCCCCAACAGCGCCTCACATACCTAAAATCGGAGAACCATGCTCCCGAAGGGACCAGCTTTACCCTATCATCTGGCTATGCGTCCCCAATGACGGGCCAGCAGACCCCGAGAGAGATGCGCGAGGAGAAGTGGAAACAGGAGGCGGAGGTGACGCGCCCGGGCAAGTTGGAGATGCGCGCGAAGTACAAAGAACTCGGAGGAAGGAAGGCGAGGGGAAAGGGAAAGGTCGGCGGTGGTGGGGGTAGAGACAAGGGTGGGTGGGACGCTGGGGACGACTTCTGAACGAGTCGCGTCTCCTTGCCCGCTCCAGACGTCGTGGCTCAAAGCCGGCGACCCCGCGACTATGATCTCGCTGTACAATTATTGTATGTACCTGTAATATATGTAGAGGATGGATTTGAATCCGGAATCTGAGCTGCCTTGTCCTGTCGAGAACAACATCAGTGATCGACGCGCGACGCGCGCGCGCCTTGTGGTCGTGATCGTTATTGTTGTTTCTTGGTCTTGACTCTCATCGCTGTGTGGCGACCAACACTTGTGGTCCTATCTTCATCAACGTTAACTCTTTCATAAACATCCGCTTTCTGCTGTCTAGCACTCCCTGAGCATGGCGCTAAGGCCAGATCCGAGGGCAGGACGTCCTGTTGTCCAGTACGACGATATCAGCCTGCCGTATGATGATGCGCCAACGTCTGGACCATCTGGAACCTCCCAAGCGCACTCTTCTGGCCCCCAAACATCACCGCCGAAGAACAACCAGCAAGAAGGGAAACCTCCGCCCGCGAAGAAGAGGAAAGGCAATCGGAACAAAAATCGTCAGCAACAACAGCAGCATCAGCAACACTGGGACGATCCAGGCGCAGCTGGTAGCGGGAATGGCAATGCTGGCGTAGCCGGCTTCAACAGTGGCGCCCCAGCCGCCCCTAGTAAGGGTGGTCAGGGAGGGCAGCAAGCGCAGCGTGCGCAGAAGAACGCGTCTGTTCAAGACCATTCGAACGCACAAGGAGGTCCTTCGACCACCCAAAACCATTCAGCGCCAAGCCAGAAGAGCGTCTCCTTCCCATCTGTTGCACCTCAGGAAGTGGAAGAGGTCGAAGAGAGCCGTGAGCTCACGTACGAGGAAATCTGGGACGACTCGGCGCTTATAGACGCGTGGGATGCTGCGAATAAGGAGTACGAGGTATGTGTTGGATTTCTGCTGCTTGGAGTACGATGAACTGACGGATCCCTGACACCTTCACGCGTACTCTTTCTCATCGCAACCCCGTCGCTCCTCTATGCCTGTCGTGGTCCTCCTTCTTTCGATCTACGCTGCGCCACAAGGCCTACCACGGCAAGGGCAAGAGCTGGAAGACGGAGGGCGCACGCAAGTCCGTCCTGTTCGTCTTTGCCGTCTTCCATGGGCTCAACGCTAACTCATCTCTTTTGCCAGTTGGTACAACATTCCACCCGAACCGAAATCGGCGTCGGCAGTCGGCGGTGGTGGACTAGCTGGACAGGCTATTGCGCAAGCCATGGCGATGCAGGAGCGGCAGATGAATGGTGAAGTATCTCTGGATGGCCAGCAGGAAGACGGGGAACAAGAAGAGTACGACGCTTATGGTGAAGGCAACGAAGGTGATGCGCAAGCCACGATGCCTCCAGACTTGGGCGCGTACCATGGGAAGGGAGTAGGCCAGGACGAGGCGTTCTCGCGCGCGATGAACGCGATGTACTGGACGGGGTATTGGACGGCGGTGTATCATGTGAGTGGAAGTTGTATTCGTTGCTTTTTCTGGGTGCGGGCATTGGACGACGCCTTCCTTGACGTCAGCAAATGTAGCTGTGCGCTCTGATGCAAGCCGGTCGCTGAGCTTTACTGGTGGCATGCATGCTGATAAAACTCATGATAGGCTTCTCGAAACGACCAAGCAGGTCCGCGAGGGACGAAGCGCGATGCGCTGGAGATGCAGGAGGTCGAGGAGGAACTGGATGGGCGAACGGGAGATGACGAGGAAGCGATGGAGGAAGACGGCTTCGTGTCTTCGCAAAGGTAGGGGGCGACAAAAGGATGCAGCTGGTCAGTCTAGCGTCGGTTAAGCAACGTGCAGCGCCTGCTGAAGGAGCCCGTGAGTTCGTTGACTGTGCTATTTGGACGATGTACTTGGTCTGACAGGACGCTCCCGCGTGTGCTCTTGACTGAAATGAGTCGAAATTTTGCTGTTCCCCTGGAACTGTAGTATATACCTTGTTCTCGCGTTTACCCAACCGATTGCACGTTGGAATAGATGAAGAATAGGGTACGACCGCTCCGCGAGTCAAAGCAGATTGCGGAAACTCGGCGTATTTCCGTCTACTTGTGACTCGACTAGCGGGGTCGCGGCGTCCATCCGAACTTCGACGATGGGTACCCCGGCCTCGGAGCGGAGGTGTTCGCACCCCGGACGAGGCACTATAAAGACGATCGCGTGTGATGATCGAGGGGGACTCATTCGGACGGCCTTCCCCACTCTTAGCTTTCGACCACTCACTCATGACCGCTCCACCATCCCCGACGCCTGGCAACATGTCGACGACGCCTCAAGGAGCAGGTACGCCCAACGCGGCCAGTCTACCTCCTGCGCCGTCTCGTTCGGCGCAGCGTGATGGGACGAGTAGTTTAGGGACGTTTGGGGTGCGTTAAAGGTTCTTCGTTCGGCGAGGTAACCGGCGCTCACGGTCTTGTAGGTGAAATCGGGGCTGGCGCAGATGCTGAAGGTACGGAATGGGGCGTATACACATCAGCTCTGATACTGAGAAGAACGTAGGGTGGGGTAATCATGGATGTCGGTGCGTGCTATAGATCAAGTTCATGTCGGGGTATTGATTGGCCCCTTCAGTGAACGCTGAACAAGTGAGGGCATTCGTGTGGTCTCACCTTACCTCTCTGAGCTTTGATTAGGCCCGCATCGCCGAGGAAGCTGGCGCCTGCGCTGTCATGGCTCTTGAGCGCGTACCCGCCGACATTCGTGCTGAAGGTGGCGTCGCGCGGATGGTACGCCCCTCGTCTTTCCACCATGCAATTGATCTGACGAGGACCACATTAGAGTGATCCGCAAATGATCAAGTCCATCATCGACGCTGTTACAATCCCCGTCATGGCGAAGGTTCGCATAGGTCACTTCGTCGAGGCGCAGGTGAGACCTCAGCCGCTTTCCGTGAGGGCGGAGGCCTCACATCACGATATAGATCTTGCAAGCAGTCGGCGTCGACTACATTGACGAGTCAGAGGTGGGCTCTATCGTGCGAAGGCCATACCTCTCCCACTTACGCGTATGAAGGTCTTGACGCCAGCAGACGAAGAGCACCACATCAATAAGCATAACTTCAAGGTATGTAGACAGCCCCGGGTCCAATCACTCGTACTAATGTTGAATCAGGTTCCCTTCGTCTGCGGCTGCCGCAACCTAGGCGAGGCCCTGCGTCGCATCTCTGAGGGCGCCGCCTTCATTCGTACTAAGGGCGAAGCGGGCACGGGAAATGTCGTTGAGGCGGTGAGGCACGAACGCGCGGTCATGAGCGATATCAGGTGAGCTCGTTATTCTCCGTTGCTGAGCGTTGCTGACACGTTGATGCTACACGAAGGCGAGCTAGCGCGATGAGCGAGGACGAGCTCTACGCCTTCGCAAAGGAGATCGGGGCGCCATTCCATCTGCTGAAAGAGACAGCGCGCCTGAAGAGGCTACCGGTGGTAAACTTCGCGGCGGGCGGGATTGCGACGCCTGGTACGCCGCTGCCGTCTCGTTGGACGTGGAGGAGGAGGCTGACCTTTCATATAGCGGATGCGGCGCTGATGATGCAGTTGGGGTGTGACGGCGGTACGTTGATATTCAGAGGTCCTTTCGGCACTCAATGTCATTGACCCGCATAGTCTTCGTCGGCTCGGGCATCTTCCACGTATGTACAATTCATTGTCTGGTATCGCCCTCGCACTGACTCTCGGCCAGTCCGGCGACCCCGCAAAACGGGCGCGCGCCATTGTGCAAGCGGTATGTATAGTAGCCCTCGTCGTCATCCTCTTCCTCATCAGCGACGTAGGTCACGCACTACAACAACCCGAAAAAGCTTGCGGAAGTCTCGCAGGATCTGGGACCAGCAATGGTTGGACTGACTATGTGCGTACTCGTGTGCAGGTGGAGGCATTGAGCTAACGGTATTTGCAGTGACGACAAGCTGAAGGGCGGACAACTGGCGAAACGGGGTTGGTGAAGGAGAAACTTAACAAGCGATGTATATGTATATGTATATGTACATGACAGAAACTGTAGTGCCCGCGCGCGTTCTATCCTGTGAGAACGTCAGGCAGGGAGCGGTCAATGCCTCGCGATAGAGCTCTGTCGAAGCGCCGGGGACTCGGACCGATGATCGGACAGTCAGCCCTTCTTGTTCTTGACTTTCACGTCGCGTCTGTTGTACCCCAGCAGTGATGCCAGCGAGAGCGCTGGAATTCTATAGCGGGATAGGTGCGAGGCCTGCCGCTCGCGACAATGTACGTTATTGATCATGGACATAGGCGGCCTTCATCTAGCGCTTGAACGCAGCAAAATCGCCGGCCAGGTCGCTTGCGCATTCGACTGGGATCAGGCTGCCGAGCAGGTATATAAGCACAACTTCCCGGCGACGCCGGTCAAGAGGGTGCGTGATATGATCCCGCACGCGCATCGTTACACTGACTTATCCACGCAGGTCGATATATCTACTCTTACAGCGTCTTCATTACGCGACCTTTTTCCCGACATCGACATCTGGCTTTTGTCCCCCGCATGTCAGCCGTATACAGTGCTCAATCCGAACGGCAAGGGCGCACAAGACCCTCGTGCTCAGTCCTTCCTACATCTCGTACAAGTCGTCTTGCCCGATCTCGCGCGCGAGGGGGCCGCTCCAAGATATCTGCTTGTAGAGAATGTTGCAGGCTTCGAGGTGCGTGGACCGCTTCTACGCCCTTGCACGCGTACTTACACCCAGTCGTTCCAGCAATCAACAACTCGCCAGCTTACGCTCTCAATCTTGCAGAGCATGGGCTATCACTGCGCAGAATTTCTGCTCACTCCACTCCAGTTTGGCATACCGAACTCTCGCCTACGTTATTACCTCCTTGCACGAAGAGACCCCTTCCCCTCCATTTCTTCCAAATCTGCTGCTTCAGTACTGCGATATATCCCGGGGCATGGCTCTGGCCCTTGGATCGATCCTCGTACCGAAGGGCCTGCTTCGTCAACTGTTTCATTTAAAACCAGATGCCTCCAGGAATTTCTTGATCAAAACATGGCAGAAAGCATAGCTGCCAAGTATACAATCCCTGACAAGGTTCTGGTCAAATGGGGCTGGCTGTTTGACATTGTGTACCCAAGTGATAGAAGGACTTGTTGCTTCACAAGAGGTAGATTTGGTGGCAGATCTTGACTTGGTTCATGCTAATCCTTTTGCAGGTTATACTAAGTTGGTTGAGAGGGCTGGGTCCATTCTACAGATGAATGAAGATATGGATGTGAGTCCTGAAATTACTACTTGCCTTCTTTGACTGACATGCATGTGTTCTAGACTACACAGACCTTTGAAGAATATCAGGAAGCATGTCAAGAGACCAATCCTACACAGGCTCTGCAGATACTTCGGCCTCTCAGATTACGCTACTTTACTCCTCAGGAGCTGCTATGCTTGTTTGGCTTCAACGATCCTGGGCTTCAAGTAGCATATAAGTGGCCTTACAATATATCAGAGAAGACAAAATATAGATTGATTGGGAATAGTGTTAATATACATGTTGTTACAAATCTAGTAAATTATCTAGTTAGTTGAATGATTACAGTGTTTTGTGCTATCTTCAGGTACCTGGGATTAGTATTGTTGATAGAACTCTGCCATCTTCCCCTAATGAATATTGAGATGGCTGTTTGGCTGCTTGCCCAATGTGACAAGTCATTAGATTGTATTTGCACCGGTATATATCCACTTTCTCATCTCAATTATGGCTCCACTCCTGATGCAGAGCCCAGTGTACATTGGCCTCCCCTTGAACACTGCTTAATGCAGGAAAATCACAGCTAAGTATCAATTCGAAGGAGCACAATATTTCGAGGATGAGTTCGAACTCGAATGTCATGCATGTGATGATGTCACCTGTGTGTGTCATCACCTGTTGTGCCGCCTACTCAGAACTCCTAGCACTCCTGCTCCCAGCGCTGTCACAGCACAAGCCCATAATCAACCTGCACAACATTCTGCTTGCATCCCTCCCCTCGGTTCTTACTCCTCCACCCAACATACTTATAGATGCTGGCCCAGCCGCTGCTGCACATGCTGCCTCCCTTCTTGCATTTCGAGTGGACTGGGCCCACAAGTGGCGTCTACGTCGCCAGAAGTACGAGATCCCCTGACCTCGCCAGGGCGGAGAGCGCATCAGTAAGGAGTATCTTCTCAGCCTACCTAGTGCAGAGTGCAATTGGCAGTTTTGGTGTCACGAGTGGGTATTTGTGGACGCCTCTGACTCATCTATACCGGGCTGTGCTTGAAGCTTTCACGAGCTAAATAAGCGCAGAGAGCGCAAGACCTCAGTCTTCCTGCGTATAGGATAGCGACTCAATTCATACCTAAATAAGCGCAGAGAGCGCAAGACTAAAGTACAGTCAGTATAAGTAAGAGTAAAGTAAGTAAAAGACATACCCTCAGTCTTCCTGCATATAGGATAGCGACTGAGGGAAAAGGAAAGGTAGGTACACGCGTATGTACGGGGCCATCCGGGCAAAGCGTGGGGAAAAGTCATGTGATCTCAACTCTTGGAAGTTACATAAGCAGTTCCAAGGGTTGAGGTCACATGACCTGGCTGAAGGTAGACTCGCCACTAAACACCACTTTTGACACTCCCACTCGAGTCTGGCCGCAAGCCCATACCTTGGCAGAACTTGAGATGCTTCTCATGAGGTAGTGCCTTGGTGAAGATGTCCGCAACCATCTTGTCCGTGGGGTACCAGAGGACGACGCACTCGCCGGTGGCAACCAGCCCATCGCGGATGTAGTGGTACTTCCGCTGGATGTGCTTGGTCCTAGCACGGAACTGAGCATCCTGGCTGAGGATAATGGCCGCACGGTTGTCGCACCTGAGCTCGGTGGCACCAGCCTGCGGACGTCCCAACTCGTCAAAGAACGAGCGGAGCCACGCCAAGTGCTGGCCTGCATTAGCTAGGCCAATGTACTCCGACTCGGTAGACGAGAGAGAGACCATGGACTGTCGCTTGCTTGACCAACCGATGGCACCCCGACTTGAGATGAACACAAAGCCAGAGGTGGACTTGGACGTGTCGTTGCATCCACCCCAGTCAGCGTCGGTGTAGCCATGGAAGTCGAGGTCCATGCCTGCATCAGCGCCGTCGTAGACCAGACACCAGTCGCGTGTTTTCTTGAGGTACCGGAGGACGCGCTTGGCCAGTTCCCAATGGCAAGCCTTGGGGGCGGCGCTATAGCGGCCAAGAACCCCCACCACGTAGGCGGTATCCGGTCGGGTACCCATCATCCCGTACATGAGCGAGCCCACAACGCTCTGGTAGGAGACGACGGGACCTCCGGGGACCAAGGCCATGTGAGTGCGCACCTCGTTGTCATTCGGGTCATCGGCGGAGATGCGAGTGCTTGTGGACATGGGGGTGCTGACGCCCGTGCAGTCCGACATGCCATACCGCTCAAGCACGGTGTCGATGTACTTCCTCTGGGAGAGGGAGATCGTGCGCTTGCCCGGGTGCCGGATGATCTCGATGCCCAGGAGGTACTTGGCGGGACCCAAGTCGCGCATCTTGAAGGAGGCGGTGAGCTTCTTCTTGATGCTGTCCATGAAAGGACGCGAGGTAGCAGCGAGGAGGAGGTCGTCGATGTAGACGACAAGGAAGCAGACCTGCTTACCGTCCCGGAAGACGTAGAGGCAAGTCTCCGAGTTGAGGCGCACAAACCCGAGCTTGTCAAGCTTGTTGTGGAGCGTCTGATTCCACGTGCGACCGGCCTGCTTGAGGCTGTAGACCGACTTCTTGAGTCACCAGCAGTAGCCCTCCCGGATGTCCACACCAGTCGGGGGAAGCATGTAGAGCGTCTGTAGCAGCTCACCATTGAGGTAGGCGGTGTTCACGTCCATCTGGTCTGTGTAGAGGCCGAGGCGGACGGCAAGGGCAAGGATGATGCGGATGGACTCCAGGCTTGCGACGGGCGCAAAGGTGTCCTGGTAGTCGACTCCTTCCTGCTGAGTGAAGCCGCGTGCCACGATGCGCACCTTGTACCGCTTGATGTTCCCTTGAGCATCCTCCTTCAAGGAGAAGACATGCTTGGAGGTGATCGGCTTGACACCCTCCGGGATGGGTACCTCCTCGTAGACGTCGTTCAGCTTGAAGCTGTTCAACTCCTCCGACTGCGCGTCCAACCACTTGTCCCGCTCTGGACTCGCCATGGCCTGCTTCCAGGTGGTGGGAATCTTCCGCGCGCCGCTGCTCGACCGACCACCAGATGCCACGCCCGCAAAGAGTTTGTCATTGAGAAAAGCAAAGTTCACTGACTCGCCCTCTTCGTTAGGTTGACCCGGGGGGTCCCCACCCCCCTGGGTAGGCGCTGGTGCAGGTTCTGGTTCGGGAGCTGGTGCGGGAGGCGGAGGAGGAGCTTCTGCCTGAGGCGGCTGCTCTCGACGTCGGCGATTTTCCTCGAGTTGCTGCTCGCGCGCGCGGATGTTCGCTTCGCGCTGCTGAGCGGACACCTTCCGGTGGTTTTCCTGCCGCTCCCGGGCATTAATGTAGCCCTGGTCCTTGTGCTGGTTTGCTGTTCGCTCTTCTGGCTTGCGAAGGCCAGGGCGGCGTGATGGACCAGCGGCGGGGGCAGGAGCCGGCGGTGGCGTGGCCGGTGGCAGAGACCGGCGCGGTATGCGCGTCTTCGGTGGACGCGGAGGAGGCGGTGGCTCATCTGAGTCAGGTGAGGGCGGACGATTATCTCCCACTGGCTCTGGCGTGGGTGGGCGAGGTGCTCCCACTGACCCGGCTGCAGGTGGCTGGGCCGGCGCATCGTCATCGTCATCGTCCTCGCTGTCACTGCCTGCATCTGGAGCAGGAGTGTCCTTGGGCGGCAGACGGAAGTACTTGCCAAAGTCCTCCCACTGCTCGGCAGACACATCGTCTTCGCCTGCGCGCATCTCGTCAGGAGAGGGGGAGGCGTCATCGAACTTGACATGCTGGGAGATGATGACCTTCTGAGTGGCGATCTCGAGGAGCTTGTACGCCTTTGTGCCCTCAGACCAAGCGTAGCCTATGAGGATGCACCGGCGGGCGTGGTCGGCGAACTTGCCCTTCCGCTTCTTCTTTGGGATGAGCGGGTAGGCGGGGCAACCGAAAGGGTGCAGGGCGTGGACGTCAATTGGGCGCTTGACCTTGCGCATGCGGTTGATGGGCAGTTCTCCCTTCTGGCGGCTGGCGGGTGACAGGTTGATCATGTCGGTGGCGTACTCCATCGCGTACATCCAGTACTTCCGGGGAAGCTTGGCTGCGCAGAGGTTAGCGATCGCCCGGGTGACCAGCGTCTGGTTCATGCGCTCTGCTATGCCGTTCTGCTCAGGCGTGTAGGGCGCCGTCGTCTCGTGGATGATACCGCGTCGCCGGAACTCGGCCTCCATCTTGTTTGAGCAGAACTCGCCACCGCCGTCTGTGCGGGTGAACTCAACCCAGCCGGGGCCACTCCCACTGCTCGATAGAGTCGCGGTGCTGATGCTCCATGTCGATGCGCCACTGTCGAAGCTTCTTGTAGACCTCCGACTTCTTCTTTGTGAAGAGCGTGTAGACGCCCGAGGAGTAGTGGCAGACGATGACGATCCAGTAGAGGTAGCCGCCGATTGCAGCGGGGTCAACGGGGCCACCAACGTCGCAGGAGACGAACTGTAGCGGGCGCGAGGCGGGCGTGGTGCTCCGCTTGAAGGGGAGCTTCTTCATCTTGCCCATGACGCAGGGCTCACAGAAGGACGGGATGCCGGTGAGCGTGTCGACCTCCGAGCTGCCCATGCCGGACCATGTTGCGCAGGCTCTCGAAGTTTGTGTGGCCCATGATCTGGTGCAGCCGGTTGATGTCGATGGCGGTGAAGGCGCGCTCATCTGTGCCGATGGGCTGGCAGTCGACGTGATAGAGACCGTGTTTGCGCGTTGCGACACAGGCGATATCGCCGGAGGAGTCGCGGATAGTACAGGCGTTGTCCTTAAAGGACACGCGCAGACCACGCTTGGTGATCTGGGGCACCGAGATGAGCGTCAACGCGAGGTCGGGGACATGTAGTGTCTTCCGGATAGTCAGCGCGCGCACACCGTTCGGCGTCTTGGAGGCAAAGCAGGCGGTGCCAATGCCTACTGCCTTGATGACGGACTCATTCCCGAGGTAGATGTTGCGCGGCGGGTCAAGGACACGGTAAGTGCTGTTGTCGAAGAGGCGCTCGTCGGGGGTCATGGTCTTTGACGCACCCGAGTCGACGATGTGCGAGCCTTGGTGTTGCTGCGGTCGCTTAGGATCAGACTGGACATAGGCGGAAATCTTCTTGTAGGCACGGCGCGAGACGGTTACATGCGTGTCGTCTACGTCTGAATCCGAGTCTGAGTCCGAGTCCGAGTCCGAGTCCTTCACCTTGTTCGCCTTTGCCTTCTCCGCCGCCCGCTCCTTCCGCTTCTTCTGCACCTTCTCCTTCTGCCCAATGATCGTCTTGCACTCCTCGGTGGAGTGCCCCTCGCCGTGGATGACGCAGGTCGCCTTCGCCTTGGCCCTCTTCTTGCCCTTGTCCTTGGGCTTGCGCGGTGGGGGCGCGCGAGAAGAGGAGGCGGCGTATGCCTGCTCGTCGTCCGAGTCCTCCTTGCTGGTCACCTGTGCCATCAGCTTCGCCTCGACGTAGGAGAAGGTGAGGGGCGCGGCCTTGGAGCTGCCCGCCGAGATGCCAGACGAGACGATCTTCCACTTCTCCGAGCTGGGAAGGGAGGCGAGGAGGATGAGGGGGACGAGGTTGGCGTTGAGGGGGTAGCCAAGGGTGGCGAGCTGGGTGACCGACTGCCGAACGCGGTGGATGTGCGCGCTCATCGCCTCGCGGGAGACGTCTCCATCGTCGGTGTCGGCGAGCTTCGTGCGGAAGATCTTGATCAGTTCGGTGACCGCCATCTCGCTGGTGTTGGTCTGCTCAAACTTCTCGACGAGCTTCTCCCAGAGTTCGCTCGCGTGCTGGTACTCGTGGAGCTCGAGGGCAATGTCATTCAAGAGGTGCTCTTGGATGGTGGAGAGGGCGCGGGCATTCCGCCAAGACCAGGTCTCCCTCTGCGCAACTTGGTGAGTGGTGGAGGAGGAGCCCGATCCCGTGGATGTGGTGGTGGTAGCCGGAGCGCCGGGTGACGTGGAGGGGGGAGAGGACGTTGTTGGCGTCGGTGGAGTCACCGCGATCTCAGGGGGAGGGGATTTCTCCGACCCAGTCACCACGGAGGTGAGATCGTCCCTGTTGAGGGCGTCGGTAACCCGGAGGCGCCAGAGCGGCCAGTCCGCCGCGTCGGTGAGCGTCGGGACCTTGCTGTCCTTGGGAGCCATGGCGCAGAGTGGGATAGAGTGAGTCGCAGATCGAAGTCTTGCTCGATTTAGGCCACGGGGCTTATAACCTTTCACGAGCTAAATAAGCGCAGAGAGCGCAAGACCTCAGTCTTCCTGCGTATAGGATAGCAACTGAATTCATACCTAAATAAGCGCAGAGAGCGCAAGACTAAAGTACAGTCAGTATAAGTAAGAGTAAAGTAAGTAAAAGACATACCCTCAGTCTTCCTGCGTATAGGATAGCGACTGAGGGAAAAGGAAAGGTAGGTACACGCGTATGTACGGGGCCATCCGGGCAAAGCGTGGGGAAAAGTCATGTGATCTCAACTCTTGGAACTTACATAAGCAGTTCCAAGGGTTGAGGTCACATGACCTGGCTGAAGGTAGACTCGCCACTAAACACCACTTTTGACAGAAGCCCATAGACAACAAGTATATACAATGTCGGTAGCTTACGTGTCCCTCTACCTACCTTTCTATTTAGTCCGTTGCGTTGTCGCCTTCCGGTCCATGTCAACTGTGTGTTTCGTGCAGCGTGCACATAACACACAGATATGTTTCCTCTTCTTTCCGACTCCTTACTTACATCCTACTTACCTTTTGTTTCTTTTCCGATGTTTCCAATGTTTCCGATGTTTCCGCACTCGTACTTACTTTCCGCTCCGCATTCTGTTTCCGACGCGGAATCCCACGTACCGCTTTACCGTCTTATCTCCTACTCATTCTTCTCTCATTCTTCCGCCATCGCACGTATTGCTGCGCCCACTACTTATCGTTACTTTACCAAGATCTGAATGGACCTTTTCCACATGGACTCGTACTTATTGTTACTCCGCGCACATGCACCGGAATCCGATGCATCGCACCTACTACTCGTATATAAGCTGGCTAGCTGCTCCTAGATAGCCAGCAAAAATATCAACTTGGTTTCCAGCCAGCTCCTTGCCTTCTCCTCTCGCTCAACTCCTTCCTTGTCTTCACTCCGCGTTTCCGCCCGACTCCGACTTGGAAACGTGCGGACTTCATCTCACGTCCTCGTTTCTCAACGGAACGCAGAGGCATCGAACGGCGTCACCTCTTATAGGTGTTCGCAAAGCGTTCCAACCCCTTGGCACGCCATACCTAACAAGCCACTATCTCAGAGGTCGTCAATTATGTCACCTGCTTCGTCAATGTTCATGGGGCTTTTCTCCTCTGCTTCGACCACGATGGTGTACTCGCACCCGCCAATCTCAAGTGTTACACCGAGGCCATCTATCGTGCAGGTGCACTTCTAAGCAGTGTATGCAGCTTCATCAACTGCACTATCCATTGAATTTCCTGCCAGACTTGGTACCAGCGCCAAGCCTACAACGGCTACAAGAAATACCACACCCTCAAATTCCAGGCTGTGATGCTCTCCAACGGCATGTTTGGACACCTTCATGGGCCAGTGGAAGGGCAATGCAATGACCTTGGCTAGCTCAATGACAGTAGGCTGATCAATTTGCTCCAGGAGCATGCTGTCTGCGAGGGTACAGACAAGAACACGTGTCCCCCCATCCGCTTTCCGCAGCTCTTTGGTGATCTGGCTTACGGCCTTAATTATCACATCATCAGTCCATTCGCAAAGGCCAATTGCACGGCCGACGAGCTTCACTAGAATGAGGCGATGTTTGCTGTACATACAAATGTGGAAAATGGGCTTGCGTTGGTGGTCAAGGAGTGGCCGTTCCTTTACTTGTGGTGGAAGATGTCTCTCTACTCATCCCCTGTGGGTGTTTACTACTGCTTTGGTGTCCTCTTGATGAATGCACGGAACTGTATGCAATACAACCAAATAGCTATCACCTTTGACTGTGTCAAAAGTAGGGTATAGAGGGGCGAGTCTGCCTCCTCCCATGGGCAGACGGTTTGCCTCATGTCCACGCTTTTTGTCTGCCTTCCTATTCAGGAAGAACTTTCCCACACCGCTCTGGGAGCGTCCGTATTTATCCTTACTGTACATCTCTTTTCCCTCAGTCGCTATTCCACTAGCAGAAAGACTGAGGATATGTTTCTTACTTACTATACTCATACTGTTTACTGACTGTACTTTAGTCTTGCACGTCCTGCGCTTCTTTAGCTCATGAAAGACTATAGATCACCATCTTTAGCAGAGTATTCTCATGCACTGCAGCTACCTCTGTGATATTCAACAGCCATTTTGAGTCTCTCAAGTTCCCAGCAAGTACATCATGATGTGAATATGTTCAAGGCAGCTGTGACAATCTGGTTGTCACACCTATGTTGTACTGCCCTCTCGCCACCATGTCAGACTATACTAAGGTGCACGTCGCCTCTCCTCCCTGTCCCCTGCTGCTTCTGCATCCCGCGCGCGTCATTGATGTCATCACAACGCACACTAAACATGATCCCGTGCAGGAGGGATGCAATGTGTTGTGATACACCCGCCTCCTCTTCCATAGAGGATCTCTTTCACCATTTGCTTCGACTCCCATTCCGCGTGCCTGTAACTACCTTATGCCCCACTTTGACAATGATACAACCCAGCAGGTAACGTGGAATTGGCGCAACACAGTGAAAACCCCAGCGGTATAAAGGCCAGTCAAAGATACGACCTTCCCATCCAGCTCACAGACTACGGAACACTCTCAAACTCTCTCTCTTTACTTATCAATCACACCATGTCCCAGAACCAGAGCAAAGTCAACTGGCAGCAGATTGCCGACTGCGCCAACGTGTCGCCGATGAGCCTGTACTTCCCTCCTGTGGAAGATCTCATGTTATACTTTGACGGTGCTGATTGGGGTGACAATGTCAAGCTGGATGTTGCGTCTTTCTTACCTGATCAACTGACACCAAGTACGTGGTCTGCTTGCCTCAGTTACAAGACACTGACCTACCTTGCAGATGCTCTCTCTACCCGGGGCAAGACCCACGCTATCGTCCTCCTCCCCCTGGTCCAGCCCTAGTCTCTGTAGTTCCCATCCCTTTATACTTTGCTATGCCATCCAAGCTGGCGGCCAAAACCACCCCCACTGCCACAAATCCTGCTGACTCTGCTGCAAACCCCGCCACCCTACAGCGTGAGCTGCCAATCATGATGCCTGCACCTCGTTCATGGCCTCCTACATGTGGCGCGGATGCTCTTCCGATCGCTCACGCTGCAAAGCATGCTACATCCACGGCTGCGTCCGTGTTGACCAATGCTGGAGACAGCAGCAACTCCGATGGTGTGTCAAAGCCTCAGCCTCGTGGGCGCAACAGATTCTCAGCCACTGCTATAGAGTTTGGGGTTCGCGTCATTGCTGATGTGAACCCGTACACTGCTCCACATGGCCGCAAGGGCCGCCTGTGTGGAAGCAATGCCTCTGCCACTGCCAACAGGCTGGTCACTTCAAGGGCTCATTGGTAGATGCCTTCAAGCATAAGATTTCTGCCCTCGTGGAGGCCCATCAGGTATGTTCCTCACTTATCATCTTGCTAACTGGTGTTGATATGTTTTTAGGACAGCTTTGGTGTCAACTTGCCGGTGTGGGTGAAGAACCTACCATCAACAACGCAAGTGATGTGTGCAGTGCTTCTTGAGCGCATTCTCCACAGAAAGGAGCACACACAGGCCATGAACAATGAGAAGGGGAAGAAGCGCAAGGTATGTAGAAGCTGTTCTCTTCCACAACTGTTACTGATACACAAATAGAAGGATGAGGAGAATAAGGTTAGAGGAGAGGACATCTGCTGCCAGTCTATGCAGCCACACCGCAAGTGTGCTGCTGCTGCCATCAACATCTCTGACTCCAACTCCAATGCCGAAAATCGTGCCCCAATCAAGAAGGCTTGCAAGCTGCGTGCTGGCTCCTTGGCAAAGGACATTTTGGAGGTGAAGAACTGCTTCAAGGAGATGGTGGAGGTTTCGAAGGCCAACGCGGAGGCCCACACCCGTGCTATGGAGAGCTTCTGCTGCACACTTGAGCACGCACTCTGCCAGAATGTGTCACAGGGTAACTTTGGCACGCTCCGAGCAAACAACCAACAGCAACACCAACCTGTGATTGGCGTGGGGTTGGGAGGAGAGAGATGGTCTCGACAATAGTGTCAATGGCACAGGGGCATGGATCGACAAGGATTAAGAGGTTGTGCACGACTAGTCCCCAAGACAAATGACCAAGTTAGCATTCAGTGACTAAGTAGTAGGTAAGGGCACACCTAGTCCCCAAGAAAAATGACTAAGAGGTCAAGATGGGAAACTAGGGCGCTGTAACACTGCTAGTGTTACTACTGTGACAGATCACGTTACCTACCCTATTTAGTTGACGATCCTCGTATTCTACGCTACTTATCTTTGTTCTTAGCTACCATGTTCTGCAGAACACGGCCGTTACCTGTCCCTTCGTCTGAGCTTGCCATTCAGTGAAGGAACCTGACAGTTCCCTTACACTTTTTTTTGACATTTAACGCGCCGCACACTCGCTATTACCACACGCTCAGCGCGCTCATCACCGCCATCACTGATCTCGGCCTCTCCACCACGCTCTCGCGCCTTGGCTCATCCCGCCTTTGCGCAAACTCGCTGTAAGCCCTCGCCAAGCTGAGGCCTGCCCTTCTCGATATTCCCCGCCGCCGCAACATCGCGTAAGCCGGCCCATTCCACCCACGACGAATCTATACGGTACGGCGCCGTCGGCCCAACGTTGCGACATGCGGTCGCTCGGGCACGGTTAGGCCTATTCCGTGACGCTACGCTACGCTCGGAGCACGTCGGATCGAAACGGTGCTGGGCGGGGGGAAGGAAGGAGGCTGGGAAGGACTCGGAGGGAACACCCTGCAGCTCGCCTAGGGTGTGGGATCGCGCGCGGTACGCCCTTCGCAGCACTGGTCAACACGTTGTCGACTTGCTCAATGTACACGCCACGTCACGCCGCATTCCGCCACCCGCGATCGCCCGCAATAACACCCACACATCGCTCATGCCCTCGGGAGAGGCCCGCGCGTGCCAGACAAGCAGCCGCGCGTTGATTACCACGCTATCTCGCCTTTTACAACTCGACCTCGACCTTCTTCAAGTTGTCTTCGCGCTCGCCGCTTCCGCTTTACGCCCCATTCCACATCTACGCTATGCGCCGCACGTCCACGACGCGTCGCCGCGCTCGCGATGCGTCCTTCACGGCGCCGGTTGCTGACTAAGCCGGTGACTTCGGCCCGGCGGGCTGTGCTCCCGCCCGACCGCGCCGCCGCGCTCATTGTCTCTGCTCTCCTTTGTCGTTCGCCTTCGCCCGCTCTACTGGAATTCTTGATCGCCACCGCCTTCGTATTCACTCACTCCGCAACGCTTATCGCTCTTGCACGCTCGCTCGCTCCACGCTCTTGGCGGTACGGTGGATGTGATTGGTTTGGGTGGGAATTTTTTTCGGGGGAGGGGGGTCTGATTTTCGATGGCGGGGGAGGGTGTAACACTGCTAGTGTTACTACCGTGACAGATCACGTTACCTACCCTATTTAGTTGACGATCCTCGTATTCTACGCTACTTATCTTTGTTCTTAGCTACCATGTTCTGCAGAACACGGCCGTTACCTGTCCCTTTGTCTGAGCTCGCCATTTAGTGAAGGAACCTGACGGTTCCCTTACAGGCGCTGGCAGCTTGCTTATAAGTAAAACTGTCCGTGGGATCCAATGGTGCAATTCTGAGTCAGTACAGTACAAGGGCAGAGGTAAATAAAAGGAGATAAGCGGATATGATGAGTAAGGGAAGCCGGTTTGGGTTATGTGGTAGCCGGTGGGTCTGCAGCAATACATACAAAAAAAAGGAGAAAACAAGAAACAAATATGAGTAAACCGGGTGCGTCATGAAAGAACAGAGCTTCAGTCAATTAGTCATGTGCCCAGTGTTGTCACGAGTTGTAGTACGAAGTTTTCTCTTGTAGCGTTCTGAACTCGATGCATGTAGTATGGTATCTACAAAGGCCAGTATAGTATTTGATGTGTATTTCTTGGTGACCATCATTGTAGAAGTTGATTTTTCTCAATGTTTTTTTGTGCGGATCTAAGTTTAATAAAAATCCAATATATACCTGTGCAAATATAGTCTATTTTTGTACTTTTGCAGACTTATTGCTTTTACCTAATATATACATGCAGTAACTTAGAAAGGGTCACGGGCAAAATCTGCCTGTCCAACTGCCACCCGCCCATGATTAAAGAATGGCACAGTTAAACTGTGTATGTTGCTGAACAGACCTGCCACCTGCACCATTGAGACTGTACCTGGTGTATATGACACCACACTAGTTACAGTCTCACCTGCAGTTTTTGTTGTGTACCACAGTATACATACCACAATTAGAACTGCCCAGTATTACCACTTTAAATAGATGCTTTTACAATGATTTGATGATTTCTGAGCCATCTACAATTCAGCTAGGCATACTGTATATAAAGTTATTGTTCTGAGAATATTGAGTATTAAGCACTGTCAGAAGTGCCCAACTGAGCATGCTTGCACTTGCCTACAGAGGCTATGGTCTCAAGGAGGTCAGAATCCCGTAGCATGTCCTTCTGTTTCCACATCCCTAGACAAAGGAATGTGCAAATTGCACTGATAGAGAGGGTATTGCACATGAGATCAATAAGCCAATAACCTTGCGAGAAGACACACTCAACAGCAGTGGAAGTTGCTGTTTCCCAAATGTTGGACAATTGGCCTGTCACACAGGGGGCAAAGTTACGGACCGCAAAGCTCTTGCGGTGTTTAACACCGCAAGCGCGTCGCAGACATCGTGCAGGTCGCGCGGTTGCCTCGCGCGATGGGGTACGTGACGCCCGTGACCTGTAGGTCCCTGTAGGACCCGGTAATCAAATTGTGGCACGAAATCAACCTTGACCGAGTCTTCGTCATGTGTATCCCAATTTTCTCACTGTTCCATACTCTCAATTGTGTGTAGACTTGCTTGCGTTCGACAACGTGCCTGCGTAACCAGGCCAGCACCTTGAGGAGCCAGCTGATGCTGTAAATAGGTTTCAAATCTAACCCGACAACTTGCGTAATCCGGTTTGAAATCTACGCGACGTGATCACGGGCCCGGCAAAAGCCGAACTCGCCCGCCCTCTGCGCCAGCTGCCAGCCCCGGGCGATGCCCTAATAGGGCACCGACGCCGTGATGCGCGCCGCGCGCGCGTCGGGCAGACCGCGTGACAAGCGTCACCCCGCGGGTGCGTCACGTGCGCCCTGCCTCGTGCGTCGGGGGCGCGCCGCGTGCTGCCGCGACGCCTCGTATCGCGCGTAAAATGGTAGTAAATGAATAGAATATCTATATTATGTATGTATATGTATGAGAAGAAGGGGAGGGAGGGGAAAAACGAGAAAAAACGCGAAAAAAGCGCGGGCGAAAATTTTCGCTTGCGATCGGCAGGCTCCTGCTGCTCGGGGAGCGCGCGGGAGCGCGTTGAAGTGGAAGGGGAGGGTAAGGGGGATTCCCCCCGAGCTACGGGCGCCCTTTTGCGTCGAGGGACGCGTCCGTGGCGGCACGTAGCGACTGAGGGGAGGGGGAGGGGGAGGGTTGAGTCAAGCCATGTTGCCATGCGTAATAGCCTCAGTCTCGCGGGCGGCAGGCTCGTCATGGTGCATGCATGCACCCCTACCATAGACCTCGTAGCGTGAGGATGGGGTATGGGTGGTATGTGAGCGCGGGAGGGGGGCGGGGTGTGGGGGTGGTGCCGTTGGGCACGCGATTGCGCGCGGACCAGCGTCCACGCCGGTGCCTGCTCTTTCACGATGTGTCCGCAATGCATTCATGGTTAGTAGCGATGTTCCATGGACGTGGATGTTGGCCGAGGGTAAGGAATAGAGGGAGGGGTGCGGTGCTGTTGCATGCTCCTCGCTCATGCTCCCCCCTCACCCACCCATCGCGTATAAGTAGATGTCAGTATATTTAAGTATGGTGGGCGCGTTCACGCACCACATCTCCCTCCCTCTCCTCAGCGTCTCTGCTCATTGCATCGATATGCCGCGCGCGATATTCGTGATATTTCAAGAATCAAGAAGTCATTTCAAGTCCCATGGACGCGCGTGGGACGAAAAAGGGAAAGGAGGGCATAGGGGGCGTGAGGAGAGGAGGAGTGAGGCGCGCGTGTGGTGGTGGTCGTGAGTAGGGACGGCCGCGAGTGGTGATCACGGGTCGTGATGTTCTTTGGGACCACAAGTCGTGTTCCTCGGGACCGCCCCGCACGCTGGCCCTTTGAGCAGCCTGCGCAGCATGCTGCAAAAGATATTGAGCTCAATAAATCGTGTAGAAGCTATATTCAACTATGTATGTCTTTGATTTCAAAGTATGGCGGGAGGGGGACTACACGACAGGCCTCAAAGTGCTGGATCTCGTTGAGGATGCCCATATGCGGTGTATCTGATGTACCTACGTATCTAGAGCTTACAATCATCGTGTACCTACATGAGAAGATGACTGACGCATCCCCCTTTGCAATGCAATTTGTTCAAGGCGAATCGACCAAGATCAGAGCGAGAGAGAGCGAGGAAGGACCGCAGATACGCACAATCAAGGATAGGAGATGCAGTGTTTTGCAGATCCAGACTAGGAACTCAACTTTGGTTGTTTGCTGGCATCCATATGTTCCGAAAATTTCAGGATCTACTATGGCATAGATCTAGTAATATAATCAGGGCTTATTACGCTCTTAGACTGCCCTCGGCGTCTACCCGAGGCCATCGAGCTCGACGACAACGAAGCTCGGGAATCGGGCCGAGTGTCCGGCCTGTTCATCCGGCGCGTCTGGCCACGCGTCGTCTTGTCTTCAACCACCATCCCCCCACCCCGTCGTCGCCCCCGACACCTTCGGACACCCCTCCCCCGTTCTCCCCTCCTCTATTTCATCTCGAATATCAGTGCTTACCGCTTGACGCGATGACAGCGCCACACAGGACGACAAAGAACACCGAATGACGCCAATTCACCAGGCGCGCGAGGAGGGGGACCGCGGGTGCGTGTATACGCCCCGCTATCGGAACCTTACTAACAAATTATACTCATCACGCATGGGGAGGCGCAAGAGCGAGTGTGCGATCAGCACGTACAACAGGGAGAGCGGGCAAATATCGCCCCTCCCCGCCATACTCCCTCCTCAGACCGCCTTTTAGGGCGCGGGAGGCTCGCCTAGGGCGTGCTACGCGTCCTAGGAAGCGTCTCAGTGGCTTTTCAGGCCGCTATACCCTCACTTGCGTGCCCGGCGCGTGCAGGTGGGGTACTGGACTGCACCGCCCCCCCCCCCATCCCGGTCGCGTAGAATCGCCTTCGTGGCGGTATTGCGCGCCGCTGGTGATGCCTATCGCGCTACTGAGCCTCACGCTCAGTGTGCCTCATCTGAGCGCGGCCGCGAACGGCTAGGCCGACCGCGCGGGACTGCTGTCAGCAGCGGGGTTCGCCCCCTTGACGCGCTAGCCCGCTGCGCAGTGCGCCCTCCTTTAACGGAGAGGGCCCGCTGGGTCCCCCATCACCCCCTCCTTTTGCATCTGCGCTTCGCGAAGGCGCAGGAACAGCGCAAATGCCCAGCCCTCCCTCCCCTCTCCCCCTCGCCTGCTACGTGCCGCCGCGGACGCGTCAATCGACGCGAATGGGCGCCCGTAGCTCGGGGGCCTCCCCCTTACCCTCCCCCATCATCCCGACGCGCTTCCGCACTGTACACGAGCAGCAGGAGCACGTCGATTGCAGGCAAAAATTTTCGCCCGCGCTTTTTTCGCGTTTTTTCTCGTTTTTCCCCTCCCTCCCCTTCTTCTCATACATATACATACATAATATAGATATTCTATTCATTTACTACCATTTTACGCGCGATACGAGGCGTCGCGGCAGCACGCGGCGCGCCCCCGACGCGCGAGGCGGGGCGCGCGTGACGCACCCGCGGGGTGACGCTTGTCACGCGGCCCACCCGACGCGCGCGCGGCGCGCATCACGGCGTCGGTGCCCTATTAGGGCATCGCCCGGGGCTGGCGGCTGGCGCAGAGGGCGGGCGAGTTCGGCTTTTGCCGGGCCCGTGATCACATCGCGTAGATTTCAAACCGCGTTACGCAAGTTGTCGGGTTAGTTTTGAAACCTATTTACTGCACAAGGTGGAGGAGCGAATGCGAAGATTAAGGGCCCGCTAGGGCGAGTCTGTTGGAGTTGGTGTGCTTGGACCGTCCCAAAGGGGATACTTACCTATAGTCACGTATCACGCTGTCACTTAACCTTGTCTTTGACCGTCATCTTGTGGTCTGTTGTTTGTGTCTGCGCCCTCCCATCTCAACAGGTTATGAGCCCCGCGCTCTAGTCTTTACCCGAAAACCCCCCAGACCTCTCAGAACTCGCTTTTTCCTCCAGAAAAACCTATTCTCTCATTCTCAAAAAAATTTCACTCGATCGATCGGTCTTATCTGCACCATCCACCACTCATCATGTCTTCCCTCCCCTCCTATGCTGTCACTATCTTCCAGCAGTCGGAGAAGCTGCGAGGCGAGGCCAACTGGCACTCGTTTGCAGAGGCTTTCATCGACTTCTGCACTGGCGTTGGTGCTGACCACATTGTGGATAACTCTTCGCTCGATTCGTCCAAGAAAGCGCTGGACAACGCCATTGGGTATGTCCTCTCTGGGATGCTGGAGAAGGATGTGAAGGATGGGGTGCCAGGGAAACGTGGTGGCCAGGAGCTGTACAAGGCGCTGAAGGCGAAGTACACTGCCTCGACCAGGGCCCGGCGCGTTGCTGCACGCAAAGCGTTTTACCAATGCTCTCATGACTTCCCCACCCAGTCGCTTGAGCAGTTCATCGTCGAGGTGCGGGCCAAGGCGCAGGTCCTGAAGGATATGGGTATCACCATCTCGGACACCGAGATTCTGGACGTCATCCTCATGAACGTCCACCATGCCTTCATCGCCACTACCACCATTCTCCTCGCGCAGACCACCGAGCCCAAGCTCGACGACGCTATCTCCACCCTGACGTCTTCCCCTGCACTCAACGTTGACGTCGTCAAGAAGGAGGAGTACTCTCCCAGCCCGCTGCTGGCCGCAAATGCGGCACGAGGGTCGCGCACACCACGGCATCCTGATGGTCATCAGGCTGACCTGACTGGAGGATGGGTGGACGACAAGGGCTACCGCTGGTGCAACGTCAACGGTGACGCCTGCCATCGGTGCGGGCGTGCAGGTCATATCGCCGCCTTCTGCATGTACAACATGCCCGAGGCCATCCGGCAGAAGATTTCGGACCGCGCGCATCTCAACGCGAACATGGTCAGTTCGCTCGCGGTCATGGAGGCAGAGGGCGAACACCAGCACCTCGCCCAGTCGGCTTATGGTGTGTACACTATCCCAGCTCGTCGCTCGCCCTCCCCCGCTGCCTCTCGCTCGCCATCCCTGCCGCTGCCGTCTGCCGATGACGCCGACGATGATGCCTTCGACTTTTCCGGTGCCGGTGGATCGTGGGGAGGAGTCTCTAGGCTCTACACGTGATGGTAGGATTTGGCTGGTTAGGTGGGAGTTGCTGGATTAGGTGGGAGTCTCTCTGCGGTCCGGCGCACAGGTGGGAGTGTTGGAGTTGGTGTGCTTGGACCGTCCCAAAGGGGATACTTACCTATAGTCACGTATCACGCTGTCACTTAACCTTGTCTTTGACCGTCATCTTGTGGTCTGTTGTTTGTGTCTGCGCCCTCCCATCTCAACAGAGTCAGGCAATAAGCCTGAGAGAGGTGAGGACCCATTGATAGACACATGTCAAATCACTCAGAATTTTGGCATACAGGAATCGGATATCGCCATTCACGGGGCACACTCCATTCCCCTCTCCAGGTCCATGGAAAGTTTAAGCGCTCGCGTACTGCTGCCACATTCGCACCCTCATCCAAATCCCTGCCGGTCGCGTTTGCCCCGTTCACATGGGATACTGAATTTATAGAGCGTGACATACGTACCCTCAGTCACTCGCGAGCGGTGAGGGTGCACAAGCTCGAGACAGACCTTCCGGACGTATCTATGTTGAAGGCGATGAATCGCATATAGCACGGCGCGCTTAGGCGCTCTCGCACGCTGGGCTGTGGCGGAGTGCGAGGGCATCGTGGGTGATTATACAAGTGGGGACCCGCAAAAGCGTTTTTTACGAGGTCTCCCAGCTGTCGCGCCCGCTGACGGCATCGTAGGTCGCGTCGAGGGTGTTGTCGACGTCGGAGACGCCCGAGAACTCTGGCTACTACGCCACCGTGCGCGTCACCCTCACCACTCTCGTCGGCTTCACTGAAGACGACTCCTTCGGCGCCCACACCGAAGCGCTTCTTGAGTCTTGCTCTCGGGGCTTCGCCACTTGTCAGAATCAGGGCAATTCCTCTCGAAAAAGGAGCCCTTCGTGCTCGAGCTGGTCCTCCGAGCAACAGTGCTATGTTTTGGAAGCCTTAGAGCATCACGTCGGTCCTCAATGTGGAAAAAAGTATAAGTGAGAAAAAGAGGGGACAGGCAATTGAGTCGTGTATGTGTAGAGCTAGAGGCAGACAATTGCGCATGGATGATAGAAACAAGGAGAACGTGACGGATGACACCCAGTCGTCACAATACTTTGCGCGTGTCGAACACCCGGCTTCCGCGTGTTGCGGCAACGCTTGCGGTGTTCGTTGCGGTTTCAAACACCGCAAGAGCCTTGCGGTGGGTGAACTTGCCCGCTGTGTCACATTATATGACTCATGATTCACATGACAGATGCATGGACACACGTGGACACACATACAACATCATATGTTTACTGTTTACCTGTTCATTGCATTATCACATGCTACTTACCATCCTGTACATATATAAGGAGGGCCTCTCTGCCCCCAAGAATAACAGGTCTTTACCTACCTCTGCGCTTGCCTCATACCAAGCTCCTTACCACCAGGTAAGCAGTATAGGTGCACTTCCCAGCATGCTCAACAGGTTATGAGCCCCGGTGAGCTGTGTTCAGCGCCCCAGTGGCAGCGGCACAATGAGTAGCGCCTCAGTGGCTGCAACTCATGTCATCAGCGCCCTTGCTGGCTGCGATAACGAGCAGCGCCTTGCTCACTTGCCTGTTAGCTACTAGCTGCTCTAAGCGCTGGCGAAACCATGCCAGATCGCGCTGATCGCTGCTAATCTTTCATGATCGCTGCTGATCGCGCTTGATCAAGGTGCCCATCTCTAGTGGAGATGCTGGCCCTTCAGGGTGCATTGCTTTTTCGCTTATTGGCGCAGTCCTTACCAACATGCTGCCTCTATGATGACATGCAAAGCGATGCTGACAATCTTTCCAGATCACTATGTCTAACACCCTCACCTCTACCGTGCCCGTCTTCAACGGCAAGGACTTCAAGTCCTTCGCCAAGAGGATGAAGGCCTACCTCCAGCTCCAGGGCATTGACAATGTCCTGACTGAGAAGAAGCCGAGTCCGATTGGCGCGCTGCGTCGCGCAGGGCTTCTCGCAGCGTCCCGGCTTCGAGTACACCGAGACGTTCGCCCCTACGCCAAAGTGGGCCGCCATCCGCGCTATCCTCGCCCTCGCCGCTATGGACGACCTCGTGCTCTACTCCATTGACATCAGCAACGCATTCTTGAACGGCGACCTGGCCGAGGAGATCTACATGCGCCAACCGCCCGGCTTCAAGCTCGGCATTGATCCTGACAAGGACTATGTCTGGCGCTTGAAGAAGTCGCTCTATGGGCTGAAGCAGGCAAGTCATGTCTGGCACGAGACGCTGAACAAGGTGCTTGTAGAGATGGGCTTCACGCGCATCCTCTGCGACCACAGCGTGTGGGTGTACGGCCACGGCGATGCACGCATCCTCGTGCCCGTCTTTGTGGACAACATGACGATTGGGTGCAAGACTGACGCACAGGCGCTCGGTATCATCGGCGAGCTGAAGAAGCACTTCAAGCTGCGCGAGTTGGGTCCTACCACCTGGCTACTGGGCGTTGCCATTGAGCGCGAGCACAGCCAGCGCACGCTGTCTCTTTCGCAGCGCCAGTATGCCACGGACATCCTCGAGCGGTTTGGCATGGCCGAGTGCAGCCCGGTCACCACTCCGCTCAACCCCTCGCACAACGTCAGCGCCGCCGATGCTCCTGTCACGCCGGAGGACATCGAGTTCATGTCCACCCGCGCCAAGGAGTACGCCTCTGCCGTTGGCGCCATTGCCTGGCTTGCCCTCGCCACTTGTCCCGACCTCGCCTACCCGGTCTCTGTCCTCGCTCGCTTCACTGGCAACCCCGGCCGCCCGCACTGGCGCGCACTGACCCACCTCTTCCGCTACCTCAAGGGCACACTTGACTACAAGCTGACCTATGACGGCAAGACGATGAACGCGCGCTCCGAGCTCTTCTACACCTACACCAACGCGGACCACGGCGGTAACCCGGACAACGGGCGGTCTACCAGCGGCCAGATTGTCATGATGGCAGGTGGAGCGGTCTCCTGGTCGTCTAAGCTGCAGACTATAGTCGCGCTTTCGACCACCGAGGCAGAGTACGTTGCGGCGTGCTCTGCCGGCCAGGAGATCTTGTGGATGCGCAACTTCCCGACCGAGTGTGGCTACTCGGTCAAGAGCGCGCCCTCCACCCTCTACATTGACAACAACTCGGCGCTGCAGGTGGCCAAGAACCCGGAGCATCATGGGCGCATGAAGCACCTGGACCTGCGCTTCTACTGGCTGCGCGATGAGGTGCATCGCGGCAGCATCCGCCTTGTCCATCTGCAGACAGCGGACATGCCGGCTGACATGATGACCAAGGTTTTGGGTCGGGTCAAACTGCAGCACATGGCTGCGCTCTCTGGCCTTGGAGTTGGGCGCTAGGACGTGCTCGATCAAGGGGGTGTGTTGGAATCGGTGTCTACGCGCTCTCTAGCGCCTATGGTATTTTTCTGCTATTTTACGGACTTTTTCCCGGTACTGTGGGCTTACTTACAGTCCTATCTCTGCGCTCGCGCCTTATTGTCGAGCGCCACATATTTCCTCGGCTTTTGCCGTGCCCTCCTGCCTAGAGCGGCGCATCCGAGTCTTTTCTCTTCCTGACTCGTTTGCTGTCGCTCTAGTGTGATCACTGGCTCGATTCTGCCTCGGACAGCGGCGGAGGTGGACGGTGTCTACGACGACGCCTCAGAGGGCGCAGAAGGCGCAGAGGACGCACCGGACACGTTGGCGCCGCCCTTGTTCTTCTTCTTCTGCTGGCGCTTCGAGGTAGAAGCAGCAGCGGCGGCCTCCTCCTCCTTCTTCCAGTCCGGCTTGAACTTGGGGCAGTCCCGGATGAGGTGCGGGCCCTTGCAGTTGTAGCACTCGGGCGTGTACCCGGCGCGGTTGGCGGCAAGGGGCGTGCCGTCCGCAGTCATCCGGTGCGAGGCGAACTCGCGCGCGATCATGTCCTTGACCGTCTCGTAGGTGAGGGCCTTGTCGAGCAGGAGGGAGGTGTACATGTTGGCGTGCTGCGGGTTGGGAGAGGCGGCGAGCGCGCGCATGGTGACCATCGCCTTCAGCTCGAGGTCCATCTTGTCGATGTCGTAGCCGGTCGAGGGGCGCAGGGACTGGACGCGCGTCATGGCCTCGTCGACGCGCGAGAGGAGGTCGGTGAGGGCAGTGGTGGCCTCGGCATCGTCGCCCAGGTTGACGTCGAAGAAGTCAGAGAGCGCAGCAAAGCGCGTGCCGGCCTCCTGGATGTTGAAGGCGGTCTTCATCGCGTCGTAGAGGTCCTTGGGCGTGCTGCGCTTGTCCTTGAACTGCGGACAAAGCGGCTCCTCCATGGCAAGCCAGAGCTCGCCAGCAGCCTTCTCCAGGCGCTGCTCATACTCCTCCTGAGTGTGGTACTCCGCATCAGTGACCGCGCTCGCGTCCTTGGGCTTGGGCTTGGTGACAGTGCCCTTGGCATAGCGCCAGAGGCCCTTGCTGGACAGCCAGGGCTGGATCTCGCTGTCCCACCAGCTCCAGTTGAAGCGGGTGAGGATGGGGCGGCCGTCTGAGTCACGCTTCGACATGGCGCAAAGGGACGGTTGTTGGGGACGATCGAACAGGCGAAAGTGGACGAGAGTGGGATCGACGTGTAGGGGAGAAGGCGGCGGAGTGACTAGAAGTTGTTTGGAGAGGAACGGACGCGAAATGCGTGCGCGACGGCGAATATGAGGGAGGGTGAAAATTTGCGGGTTGGGGCAGCTAGAGCGCGGGGCTCATAACCTGTCCGAGGCAGAATCGAGCCAGTGATCACACTAGAGCGACAGCAAACGAGTCAGATTCACAAGTAGCGAGATACAACGCATAATTACGCACCTAGAGCGACAGCAAACGAGTCAGGAAGAGAAAAGACTCCGATGTGCCGCTCTAGGCAGGAGGGACCGGCAAAAGCCGAGGAAATATGTGGCGCTCGGCAATAAGGCGCGAGCGCATAAGTAAGACTGTAGGTAAGCGTACAGTACCGGGAAAAAGTCCGTAAAATCGCAGAAAAATACCATAGGCGCTAGAGAGCGCGTAGACACCAATTCCAACACACCCCCTTGATCGAGCACGTCCTAGCGCCCAACTCCAAGGCCAGAGAGCGTTGCCATGTGCTGCAGTTTGACCCGGCCCAAGGCCTTGGTCATCATGTCAGCCGGCATGTCCGCTGTCTGCAGATGGACAAGGCGGATGCTGCCGCGATGCACCTCATCGCGCAGCCAGTAGAAGCGCAGGTCCAGGT